GAAACCCATCTCACATACAAGGATACACAAAGGCTCAAAATAAAGGGATGGAGGAAGATTTACCAAGCAAATGGAGAGCAAAAAAAAGCAGGAGCTGCAATTCTCATCTCTGATAAAATAGACTTTAAAGCAACAAAGATCAAAAGAGACAAAGAAGGTCATTACATAATGGCAAAAGGATCGATACAACAAGAAGAGCTAATGATCCTAAATATATATGGACCGAATACAGGAGCACCCAGATATATAAGGCAAGTTCTTAATGACTTACAAAGAGACTTAGACTCCCACACAATAATAGTGGGAGACGTTAACACTTCACTGTCAATATTAGACAGATCAACCAGACAGAAAATTAACAAGGATATCCAGGACTTGAACTCAGACCTGGAACAAGCAAACCTGATAGACATTTACAGAACTCTCCACCCCAAATCCACAGAATATACATTCTTCTCAGCACCACATCACACCTACTCGAAAATTGACCACATAATTGGAAGTAAAGCACTCCTCAGCAAATGCAAAACAACTGAAATCATAACAAACAGTCTCTCAGACCATAGTGCAATCAAGTTAGAACTCAGAATTCAGAAACTAACTCAGAACTGCACAGCTTCATGGAAACTGAACAACTGGCTCTTGAATGTTGACTGGATAAACAATGAAATGAAGGCAGAAATAAAGATGTTCGTCGAAACCAACGAGAACGAAGACACAACATACCAGAATCTCTGGGACACATTTAAAGCAGTCTCTACAGGAAAATATATAGTAGTAAATGCCCACATGAGAAGAGTGGAGAGATCCAAAATTGACACCCTATCATCAAAATTGAAAGAGCTAGAGGAGCAAGATAAAAAAAAACTCAAAACCCAGCAGAAGACAAGAAATAACTAAGATCAGAGCAGAACTGAAGGAGATAGAGACACGAAAAACCCTTCAAAAAATCAATAAATCCAAGAGCTGGTTTTATGAAAAGATCAACAAAATAGACAGACCACTAGCCAGACTGATAAAAAAGAAAAGAGAGAACAACCAAACAGATGCAATAAAAAACGATAACGGGGAAATCACCACAGATTCCACAGAAATTCAAACCATCATCAGAGAATATTACAAACAACTCTATGCACATAAACTAGTAAACCTGGAAGAAATGGATAAATTCCTGGACACTTGTATCCTCCCAAGCCTAAACCAGGAGGAAGCTGAAACTATGAATAGACCAATAACAAGATCTGAAGTTGAGACAGCAATTAAGAGCCTACCACACAAAAAAAGCCTAGGTCCAGATGGGTTCACAGCTGAATTCTACCAGACACACAAAGAGGAACTGGTACCATTCCTTCTGAAACTATTCCAAATAATCCAAAAAGAGGGACTCCTTCCCAAATCATTTTATAAGACCAACATCATCCTGATACCAAAACCCGGCAGAGAATCAACAAGAAAAGAAAACTTCAGGGCAATATCCATGATGAACATAGATGCAAAAATCTTCAATAAAATATTGGCAAGCCAATTGCAACAGCACACCAATAAGCTTATCCACCATGATCAAGGAGGATTCATCCCAGGGATGCAAGACTGGTTCAACATACACAAGTCTATAAATGTAATTCACCACATAAACAGTACCAAAAACAAAAAGCACATCATTATCTCAATTGACGCCGAGAAGGCTTTTGACAAAATTCAACAGCCCTTTATGCTAAAAACCCTCAATAAACTCGGTATTGATGGAACGTACCTCAAAATAATAAAAGCTATTTACGACAAACCAACAGCTAATATCATACTGAATGGGGAAAAACTGGAAGCATTCCCTTTGAAATCTGGCACTAGACAAGGATGCCCTCTCTCACCACTCCTATTCAATATAGTACTGGAAGTTCTATCCAGAGCAATCAGGCAAGAAAAAGAAATAAAGAGTATTCGAATAGGAAAGGAGGAAGCCAAATTGTCTCTATTTGCAGATGACATGATTGTATACTTAGAAGACCCTATCATCTCAGCCCAAAAACTCCTGAAACTGATAAGCAACTTCAGCAAAGTCTCAGGATATAAAATCGATGTGCAAAAATCACAAGCATTCCTATACACCAATAACAGACTTAAAGAGAGCCAAATCAAGAACGAACTGCCATTCACAAATGCTACAAATAGAATAAAATACCTTGGAATACAACTTACAAGGAACATAAAGGACCTCTTCAAGGAGAACAACAAACCACTGCTCAATGAAATAAGAGAGGACACAAACAGTTGGAGAAACATTCCATGTTCATGGTTAGGAAGAATTAATATCGTGAAAATGGCTATACTGCCCAAAGTAATTTACAGATTCAATGCTATCCCCATCAAGATACCAATGACCTTCTTCACAGAACTGGAAAACACCACCTTAAATTTTATATGGAACCAAAAGAGAGCACACATAGCCAAGTCAATTCTAAGCAAAAAGAACACAGCAGGAGGCATCACACTACCGGACTTCAAACTATACTACAAGGCTACAGTAATCAAAACAGCATGGTACTGGTACCAAAACAGAGATATAGACCAATGGAACAGAACAGAGGCATCGGAGGCAACACAACATATCTACAACTATACAATCTTTGATAAACCTGACAAAAACAAGCCATGGGGAAAGGATTCCCTGTTTAATAAATGGTGTTGGGAAAACTGGCTAGCTATATGCAGAAAGCAGAAACTGGACCCCTTCCTGACACCTTACACTAAAATTAACTCCAGATGGATTAAAGACTTAAATTTAAGACCTGGCACCATAAAAACCCTAGAAGAAAATCTAGGCAAAACCATTCAGGATATAGAAATAGGCAAGGACTTCATGACCAAAACACCAAAAGCATTGGCAACAAAAACCAAAATAGACAAATGGGACCTAATCAAATGCCACAGCTTCTGCATGGCAAAAGAAACAGTCATTAGAGTGAATCGGCAACCAACAGAATGGGAAAAACATTTTGCAGTTTACCCGTCTGACAAAGGGCTGACATCAGAATTTACAAAGAACTCAAACAGATTTACAAGAAAAAAACAAACAAGCCCATTAAAAAATGGGCGAAGGATATGAACAGATACTTTACAAAAGAAGGCATACACGAGGCCAACAAACATATGAAAAAATGCTCATCATCACTGGTCATTGGAGAAATACAAATCAAAACTACATTGAGATACCATCTCACGCCAGTTAGAATGGTGATTATTTAAAAATGTGGAGACAACAGATGCTGGAGAGGATGTGGAGAAATAGGAACATTTTTACACTGTTGGTGGGAGTGTAAATTAGTTCAACCATTGTGGAAGACAGTGTGGCAATTCCTCAAGGACCTAGAAATAGAAATTCCATTTGACCCAGCAATCCCATTACTGGGTATATATCCAAAGGGCTATAAATCGTTCTACTATAATGACACATGCACACGAATGTTCGTTGCAGCACTGTTTACAATAGCAAAGACCTGGAACCAACCCAAATGTCCATCGATGATAGACTGGACTGGGAAAATGTGGCACATGTACATCATGGAATATTATACAGCAATAAAAAACGATGAGTTCATGTCCTTTGTAGGGACATGGATGAATCTGGAGAACATCATTCTCAGCAAACTGACACAAGAACAGAAAATGAAATACCACATGTTCTCACTCATAGGTGGGTGATGAACAATGAGAACACATGGACACAGGGAGGGGAGCACTACACACTGGGGTCCATTTGGGGGAATAGGGGAGGGACAGTGGTGGGGGGGGAGTTGGGGAGGGATAGCCTGGGAAGAAATGCCAGATGTGGGTGAAGGGGAGGAAGGCAGCAAATCACACTGCCACGTGTGTACCTATGCAACTATCTTGCATGTTCACATGTACCCCAAAACCTAAAATGCAATAAAAAAAAAAGTTATCAGAAAACAACAACAACAACAACAAAAATAAAGTTACCAGGGAAGCAGTGGATGATATCACTGAAGATAAAGCATTTCAGGGCAAGTTTGGGCCCCGGTGCAATTCTGGGGCCATTTTTTCAGTGACTGCTGTACATGTTGAGACCGTTCTTCCAGAGGCTGAGTTCATGCTGTATCCCACTCTCTACCTCCAGTCTGGAGGCAATCTCTCGACCTGCTGTTGAGATTTCAGGTGAACTGTTCTGGTTGATCACTACTGTCAAAGGTCCTTGTCTTGCACCTGCACACCCTCAGCAACCGCCCTGTTCTCACACTCCACATTGTCGGCCTTTCTCCCTTAGTTCAGCTCAGTTGACTCTTCAGGGCACCAAATATATGACAGCGTGCTTGTTTTGGGAAAAGATAGTCCAGAGGCCAGTTATGTAGAAACCTTGTGAAATGATGCAATGGAAACAGAAATTACACTATAATCATGGCCCTGAACAAGGCCATCTGAGGTGAACGATCTGCTGTCAGAATAAAGTATGTAATGTTTTCAAATGCAATGAAGCATACATTCTGACCCAGAAAGAGAACAGGAAGGGTCCAAGACAGCAGTCCTCAATCCTAGATGCCTATTAGCGTTATCTGGGGGAACTTAAAAAATGCAGATGCCTGGACCCCAGACCAGAGATGTCCATTTAACTAGGGTGGAAATGGACTTGGCATCAATGTTGAGAGAGTCTTCATGGGTGATATGAATGCGCAGCCAGGGCTAAGAATCACTGGTCTGTGAGCTCAGCTTATCCAGTACAGGATGATAGCTAAATGTGCAACCAGCTCAGAGAAACCGCTGAGAAACAAATCACTGACTACGTCTGCATTCCTACAGGTAAGGTTGGCAGAGCCTGAAACAAATAGAAGAGAAAAGGCGACAGGTAGGAGGACATCATTTGTGTCCCCTACACCTAAGATTTATCTCTTTCAATTGGGTTGTTTTGCAGTTCGCATTATTTAGGCCCTGAGACACCAAGACTAACTGACATTGATAATATAATCAGTCATCAATAAATAACTCAAATATTATTGCTGTATAATAATTTTATTAAACCGTTTTATGGAAAAAACCCACATTTCTGTATGTGTCACGCCATATAATTTCCAGGTGTGTTAGAGTCCAGTGACAAATTACATTTGGAGAACAGCTTTAAAATCCACTCCTGTATCCACTCCTATATGAAATATTGAAAAGCAGCTCTGTACCTCAGCACTAAAGGTTACAAAAAGCACCATTTAAAAGAGGACTCACATATTTAACTCCCTTCAAATTAGAGTCATCTCTCTCCTTTCCAAGAGACACAGAGCTGCACTCATTCGAAATGCTGCCGTGTAATACCAACCAGCATGCTCCAATTTACCAAAATTCAAACAAGTCTCATATGTGAGACCCACGCAGAGATTAGGACTGGCCAACAGCTGTGAGCTTTGGCTGTCCCAAAGCCACAAGCTGGGCTGGGTAAGTGTTCTGTGGAGGGGAACAGAAAAGAAGTGAGATCACCAATACCTAATACATTACTTAATGTAGGTATCCGTCGGCCATTTAACCTGACACCTACAAAATCCATAGTTTGGTATTTCACACCCGTCTTACTGCAAAAGTGCTGTGCTACATACAATTAATTCAAGTTAACTCCAATTAATATTGAAACTAATAAAAAGTTAATTTGTAATAAAGCTTATTCACTTAAAAGCACAATCAAGAAAACCCAATCAAGACAAAGCCCAAACTAGAATCCCAGAAGGATTCCATTGCTAAGAATTGGACTCTATAAGTAAGAGACTTGAGTTTTTCTCTTTTTTTCCTTCTTATAATTTAAAAAAAGATTTGGCTTTTTACTCTAAAAGTCTGGGTTCATTGCAGAAATCACAGTCCTTCCATCTCCAATTGTGATTGGCACTTAAGGAGAGACAAACGCTTAGATCCAGAGTTTCGCAAGACCCCAGTTGCTACCCTCCCGGGTCCTCCATACCGTGGGTAAGTGGAGTCAGCAGCCCTGGTAGAAGACAGCAACAACTGGGCTTGAAGGATGAACGGGAATAATGCGGGAATATACCGGACATCAGCTGTTAAGCCCATGCCCTGAATCACTAGAATGTGAGGATGTAGAAATCTCTGAGAATAGAATGAATTTCAAACACACACAAACATAGACTATTGCATATCATTTTTAGTTGAGGTCAAAATTATTAAAGCCCTGTTTCCCCAGTTAAAAGCAGGGAATTCTGTTAATATGTCTTCATTCATACTCCAGATGACTAGAAACCCAGTCTAGAGGTATCCCTTCTCCAAACTTAATGTCACTTTAACAGCATACATGGAACACTGCCACTTTTCAAAGTTTTTCTCCCAGACCCATTAGATCTACAGGAGACAAGAAAGAATTGGAGCAAAGTGAATGGGCCTGGGTTTGTAGGATTCTCACAAACTTCTCTTGGATTCTTCTTTTACAAAGTTTCTCTACCATACAAGTATACGTTTAAAAAGCCAACACTACTGAGGTCAGGTATGCCCTCCAGGGGTGTGGCCTAGAATGGTTAAATCCTATCCAATTCCAAGCTTAAAGGAGGCTAATCATCATGGTGTGGAATTTCTCCATACCAGCAGCATGGCTAACCCATGTGTTTTAGACAACGTCTGACACGCTGGTAAAGTCTGCCTGACAACTGAACTTAAAGCAGAATAGAGAGGAAAGGGAACAGAATTGGAACAAGATGAAAGGGAAGATGGTTTTACACTCTAATTCTGTACAGTGATATCCAAGGACGCCACCATGTGGTGTCTGATTTAATTTCCGTTTCAAAGAGGACATTTTCTGTTCCACGTTACTCAAGCCTTTATTCTCCTATGAACTCCTCAGCTCGGCCACTCTTCTCTTCCCCACAACTCCAAAACCATGCTGCAGTTCTTTAAGGGTCAGCCCCTGTGAAGACCTATTTTTTATTCTGCCTACTTTGACTCCATAAAATTCCAACAGGCAAAGAAAAGGCTAAAAAAGATTTTTTTGCCTTTAGTCATTTTCAAAATCTGTCAAACTCTCTCCTGCATAAAATTAATTATCCCTTTAATCAACAGACGAGGATGAATGAGCAGTGCTTTGGGTTACTTCCTTCTCTCCCTCCCTCTCTTCCAGGCAGAGCGAGACAAGGCCTCTCAGAACCACGGGATACATCAGCAGTATAGAAAAGGAGCAGTGCTGAGGAGTCATCGCCCCGTTCCTCCTACCCATTCCCTTCTATGCCAGCTGGGAGGCTCCCATTTCACATCTGGCTGAGAGTTACCTCCGAACATGGGAAATTGACACTCTGCACATTTCCAGATAGAAAGATCTAAAGGTCACTAGCACCAAACCCTCTGTCACTGGAGGCAGACCCAGTTCACAAAAGCCTTGGGCCTGAGAGAAATTGAAGAGATCTCTTTTCCTGCCCCCCTCTACTGATACACCTGTGAGGAGTAAAAATTTTCACACCTGAACACGTAGATACTACATTTTGATACTGTTTACAAGAAATATGAATATAACAAACTTCATGTAACAACCAAGATTTTGGATCTTCCTAAGTGGCCCACTTATTTAATGGGTATTGGATAAGAACAAAACTCTAGTACAACTGAAGATGCTAAATCCTGAGAGTTGGTTATAACAGGCTCTGGCCTGGATTTTTAAATGGCGCACTATTCAACAAGTGTCTGGGACCATAAAATGTTCTCCACAAAAGCCTTTCGCTGCAGAAGGTGGCCTCAGATGGCTGAAGTAGTATTTACTCTTAGCAATTAACCGCCAAAGCATTTAGTTACTTGCATCCCAGTAAAACAACAACCCCATACCTTACTCTCTCACACCTGGGACCCAAGAGGTCTACAGGCCCAAAGACAACTGTGTTGTCCGCTTTGCATGGGAAAGACAGGAGGTAGCTAACCTGACCTGGAGGTGCCCTTTCAGTGTGGCTAGGCTCATCTGAGCAGTCAGGGAGTCTCTCATTCATCAACAGTTTAGCCTCCTTCAGTGCTGAATATTTGCCTTCTTATCTGTAAAACGGAAGAGCCCCCGCCACTTGAGCAAAAATATTTTATCTCTGAACCCCAAAAGTCGATTGAATATTTTTCAGTTCACAAATGGAAATCAATGACCCCACTTCATCATCAAACACCTTTAAAAAGAAGAGGCCGGAGAACAAAATGATCTTGTTAACACTTAGTTAACAGTTAACAAAGCATGATGCTTTTCATGGTTGGGGATATTAGGAATACTCTCTTGTTTCTTGGCCTAACACATCTTTGAAATGAGGGAACTCGTTAGGTGCATCAAGTTCAATGAGTTAAATGAACCTGAGCAGTTTATCTAAAGCAGTGTTTAGTTATGTGTATAGGGCTGGCCATATTAATCTAAGACCACGGAGGGCTAGACTAGAGAAGAGAATTTGAGGAAGCATTTATCAAAAGCCTGAAATTCTCCAATGCAGTCTCTTAAGATCAATGAAAAGGTATTTTTTAAATTAAAAAAAAAAAAAATGCAAGCACATAAAAATCTTTCAAGGATGAAAGACATGAGAGTACTCCCTGGTTTCACTCCTACTTTCAGAAGTGTGTGCTGAGGGAGAAGAGATGAAGTAGGGCCAGGCCAAGAGGGAAGACTTTTGGGAATTTGCCAGTACAGCCTGAACCTTGGCACCAAACTCAAACAGAAGAGCAGATGTTCTGCATTCTGCCTGCCGTATAATGCTGAGACGTATTTTCCGGAGAAGTTAAAGCAAGCACTACAGGTGGCTTGGGCCTGTGCTGGGCTAAAAAGACCTTCTGGCAGCCCTCGTCTCTGGGGTGGGTCAGGTGCCCTAAAAAGTCACGTAGCCAGTGAGTTTTGTGCTAGCGAGGGGTCAGGCACGGGAGGCTGTTCCAGGAACAATGTGAAATGAGAAGGAAGGGTTCCTGTGAGGCAGCTGGTATCACATCAATACACAGACTGTGCCGCGTACTCTGGGAATACAGAGAACCCATGCAGAAAGACTGCCCTTGCAATGAGGCAGCCGTCTAGCACAATCCCATTCCTTGGAGAGCCCAGGTAGCAGTGATAGAGCCTCCGCCCAGCAAGGATCCTAAGAGTCTGCTGTTCTTTCATTTTAGGAAAAAAGCTTCCTATATAGTTATTCCCGCAGTGCCTCCAAACAGGTCTTGGTGAAAACCCACAGGCAGAGACAATACTTCTAGCTGCGGCTAGGAGGCTTCCATTTACCTTCTTCTCATATGTATATATATTTTTTTCTTAAAATAAATTCCGTGAACTCATAAAGCTCTCGTCTGCAATCAAATGCAAAAGCAGAGCATCCTACTCAGAGGCTCTGAAACACACATATCAGCCTCAAAGCAAATCAGCCTTCCAGTCTTAGGTAAGACTGGTTCAGTCCCGAAAGGCAACGGAGATGCTTCTCCTGAATCCTTGGAGGCAAGAAGGGATCCCTTCAGATGGGCTTGTACAGCAGAGTAGTAACATACTTCTTCTTGTAGCGATGGGTTGCGCTGAGGACCATCACACTGTCCTGCAAGAAGAAACACACGCAGCCAACTCATTAGTTAAGACAGCAGGTAGCGCCTCCCAGTCACTCACTGTTAACAGAGACAGCTTGACAGAAGAGAAGAAGGTTGGTTTTGGAGTCAAATCAGTTTCAGTTCCAATCTGATTCCTATTATTATTCTACTTGTGGCCTTGGGTAATCTACTGAATATGTCCAAGTCTTTTTATCTCGTTGTTACAAAAGATAATACCTACCATTGAGGTGGCTCTGATGATTACATGAGAATATCTGGCACAGTTTCTGACATGTGAGTGCTGAAGAAATATTAGTCTCCTACCTTGCTCCCTTCCCTACTTTAAATTCTAATATTGGGCTTAAAACTAGCAAGGAAAAGAAAGAAAGAAATATTCTGGCATCCACATCTAGAAGAAAGTCTTAAAGACAAAGAGAAAAAAAGAAACAATCCTTCTAAAAAACAATTCCCAAGTCCCAAAGCAGGTCTAATTTCCATTTAGTACCAGGGATAATTCAAAAAGTCGTCTCTGATTTAGAGGAAACCTAAAAATCCCTCTCTATCTTTGAACAAAGTAAACACCAAAATCCTCTTCAGAAGGACACCCAGTCCAATGGATCAATTCCAAACCACCTAAACAATCTGAGAGAATCAGGAATGGGTCAGAACCAAGCTGAGCCACAATCATCCACACCTTCACCTGAGTCAGAACCAGTAAGAAGTGAGCAAGAGGCACCATTTCCCAGGCTGTGTTACAGACTACGGATGTACCACAGGAGGAGGTGGCAAGCCTATGCATATTCAATGACGCCCAAGGAGCAGTTACAGGAGGCAAAATCCATCGGATCCCAAATAAGCCAAGCAAATCCAATTTAGAACCAGTGTATCCTTCCACCTCCCCCCATGCTGTACTATCCACAATGAATGCCTCTCCGGTTAACATTCCAGAATCATGTTGACTAACTAAAGCCTAAATATGACAGAAGCAAGGCAGGTAAAAAATGCACTTGACAGGTTTTGTGGAAATGAGGACCAGGTGAGAAAGAGCATCTTGGAAAGACCTGGCATGATGATAACACAGGAAAGAACATGACGTCAGCATGGAGGCTGGACCTCAGTCCTGCCTCTGGTACTTACTGGCACTTTGACCTTCTCTGAGCCTTAGTTTCTTTATCTATAAAACAGGGGTTAAAAATAATACTTATCTCACAGGTTATTGTAAAAATTCCATTCAGTAATATATTTGTAAGTATTACATTGTACCAGTGATTTCCCAAATCCAGCTACACATCCAAGAAGTAAAAGCAGCTTAAAAAAATTACTAGGGCCCATCCTAGGTACAGTTATTCAGGATCTCTAGGAATGGAACTGTCGAATCTGTATTTTGACAGGAGATTCTGATGATAATCAGCCTACTTTGATAACTGCAGAGCCGTATAACTTTATTCCAATAGCCAAACCACAAAGACATAACAAGACAGAATAGAATGGCTATTTTCAACTCAGACTCTAAAGCAGCAGAAAAACCAAGGAGGACTCTAGACTTGAAGGGGACCCGGCAAATCTGGTCACATTTCTCCATTACCTCGTGTTTAGGAGACATATAAGCCCCTAAGTATATATGAATGGGGTACCTGAAAGTAGCTCAAATCTACCTGTAAAAAAGTGAAAGCCTTAACATCACATTCAAGCATTCTTTGAACTGGAAGCTAAACCTGCTTTTTCTGCAGATGAAATCCTGTACTATGAACTCAAACTTAAGTCTCTGGTATAAAGATGCTAGTCACCCAAAAAGTAACTGGGCAGCAAAAAACTCCTATCAGAGGGCAATACAACCAGCCAAGTCACAGAGACTGAGATTTTGAAACAAACAACCTAGTAATTAAAAAAAGAGAGTTCTTCCATAACTTGATCATTACTACCAGCTTCAGCTTCAGTGAAACAGCAGAGAAAGTAACCACTGAGAACGTATGTTACCCTTGTCCTCTCATTCCAGGGAGCTCTATGTAGAGCCAGGGTTTCCACTTACCTTAATGGACAATGCATAGAGATGGTTCAGCATAACATGGTTGGGCTCAGGGAGTAAGGCTGGGTCACACTAAGAGAAAGAGAAAAAAATTACTAAATGAAATTAATGCACAGACAAATCAAACAGCTTACTCTTCCTCAGAGCTCTTTGGGATGTTGAGAAATTTGATCTAGAATGTGTTATCTCTTTTTAATAATGCACCCACTCCAGTATGTATCATTGATACAATCCTATTACAGAAAATTAGAAAAATTATCAGTCCAGGGTAGAAATCCTAAGCTTCAGCATCTACTAATCTTCCTTAAGAGAGCTAAAATAAAAGCCTTGCCCATAACACACAAGGAAGAGTTGTGCTACAAGGCAAATAATCATAGCAGGAATCAAGTAGATTGAATAGGGATATAAATTATATATAAAAAACTTTTGGCCAGGCGCAGTGCTCATGCCTGTAATCACAACACTTTGTGAGGCTGAGGTGGGCAGATTATGAGGTCAGGAGTTCAAGACCAGCCTGGCCAACATGGTGAAACCCTGTCTCTTCTAAAAATACAAAAATTAGCTGGGCGTGGTGGCGGACACCTGTAATCCCAGCTACTTGGGAGGCTGAGGCCTGAGAATCACTTGAACCTGGGAGGCAGAGGTTGCAGTGAACTGAGATCACACCACCACACTCCAGCCTGGGTGACAGAGCAAAACTCAGTCTCAAGGAAAAAAAAAAAAAACTTTTATAATTCTATTGTACATCCCCAAATGGTAACTACTCCTTCATGTTGTGTTCAAACAGAAGTCTATAGCTATTATCCTGATTAGATTATGATGAGGAGACAACTACAAATTTTTATATCAGTCCCTGAAGAAGCTGTGACTCAGCACTGGAAAAAGGAAATCTGTAATGTTATTGATATGTGTATGATTTATAATGTCAAGACACCTCTGTAATAATACTAACATCGAAGATTACTGAACTTTGGTCCAAATGGTCATAGACACCCCCAGAGCCCGCAGTAATACTCAGGATACTCACAGAAATATTAGTGTCTTTGTTAAGAATAACTTGAAGTAGATGAGGAGGAAGGATGGGAGGAGATTTGAATCTTTCCTCAGATCGAAACACATACATTTCTTGACCATAAGGCCCTGGAGGTGAGCTGGAAAGGTCTGAAAGATATTTACGCAAATATGAGAAAGAGTTGGAGAATTAGCAAGAATGCATGGAAAAAGCCATCAGTACATGGCAGCTAACATTAAATATGGTAGAAGTCCTGGATCACAAACCTGTGACCTGTTGGATCTACATCTATAAGGTAACCAGAGGAAAAATCTGAGTTCCCTGGACGTAAACCACGGAGTTCCTCAACACGGCAACATGATTTGGGAGACAGACAGATGATGAGTCAGACCCAGGCTCGGGGAAGAGCTACTCCTTTTCTCAATTGTAGGACCTTGGAAGAATCCTTCCACAAGGGTCAGTTTCTTCACAAAATAAAAATAATCTTTGCCCTATTTCATGATGTTTTTGAGGAAATCAAATTAGGTAATGGATGTGAAGATGCCTTGTACTTTCAAACAATGTGAAAATATTAGATTTTTTTCTTTTTTCCAGTCAAACAACAAAGTTATAAACTCCTACGACTACTGATACAACAATGATTGCAACAATAAGGACAAAATGTAACTGTCATTAGGGAAATGCAAATTTAACCACAATAATCCTACCACTTCATACTCATTAGGATGGCTAAAATCAAAAAGCAGACAATAACAAGTGTCAGCAAAGGAATGGAGAAACTGGAAGACTCATACTATCCCCACTGCTAGTAGGAACGTAAAGTAGTGCAGCCAGTTTGGAAAACAGTTTGGTAGTTCCTCAAATAGTTCAACATAAAGTTACCACATGACCCAGCAATTATACACCTGGGTATATACCCAAAAGAAATGAAAACATATGTCTACACAAAAACTTGTACACCAGTGTTCATAATAACATTATTTATAATAGCCAAAAAGTGGAGACAATCAAGGTGGCCATCAACTAATGAATGCATACAGTATGTCCACACAATGGACCTTTTTCAGTCATAAAAAGAGCAAAGTTCTGATAGATGGCTACAACAAGGATGAACCCTGAAAACATAGTAAGTCTAAGAAACCAGTCACAAAAGACCACATGCTGTAGGATTCCACTGATACGAAATGTCCAGAACAGGCCAACCCATAAGACAGCAAGTAGATTTGTGGTCGCCACAGACTGAGAGGAAGAGGGAATGGGATGTGACTGTTACTGGGTACAAGTAGATTTGTGGTCGCCACAGACTGAGAGGAAGAGGGAATGGGATGTGACTGTTACTGGGTACAAGTAGATTTGTGGTCGCCAGACTGAGAGGAAGAGGGAATGGGATGTGACTGTTACTGGGTACAAGTAGATTTGTGGTCGCCAGACTGAGAGGAAGAGGGAATGGGATGTGACTGTTACTGGGTACAAGTAGATTTGTGGTCGCCACAGACTGAGAGGAAGAGGGAATGGGATGTGACTGTTACTGGGTACAAGTAGATTTGTGGTCGCCACAGACTGAGAGGAAGAGGGAATGGGATGTGACTGTTACTGGGTACAAGTAGATTTGTGGTCGCCAGACTGAGAGGAAGAGGGAATGGGATGTGACTGTTACTGGGTACAAGTAGATTTGTGGTCGCCAGACTGAGAGGAAGAGGGAATGGGATGTGACTGTTACTGGGTACAAGTAGATTTGTGGTCGCCAGACTGAGAGGAAGAGGGAATGGGATGTGACTGTTACTGGGTACAAGTAGATTTGTGGTCGCCAGACTGAGAGGAAGAGGGAATGGGATGTGACTGTTACTGGGTACAAGTAGATTTGTGGTCGCCAGACTGAGAGGAAGAGGGAATGGGATGTGACTGTTACTGGGTACAAGTAGATTTGTGGTCGCCAGACTGAGAGGAAGAGGGAATGGGATGTGACTGTTACTGGGTACAGAGTTTATTCTGCGAAGGATAAAAATGCTCTGGAACTGGATAGTCGTGATAATCACACAACTCCGAATCTATTAACAATTACTGAGTTGTACACTTTAAGAGTGAATCTTATCATGTCTAAATTACATCTCAAGAAAAAGTATGCAGATGAGAATATACAAAAATGATGAGAACTATATTATGATAATATCTTTTATTTAAATGTTATTGTTTCTTTTTTGAGACAAAGTCTTGCTCTGTCGCCTAGGCTGGAGTGCAGTGGCTTGATCACGGCTCACTACAGCCTTGACCTCCTGGGCTCAAGCAATCCTCCCACCTCAGCCCTCAGAGTAGGTGGCACTGCTGGGCTACTATGCTCAGCAAATTAATTTTTTTGGTAGAAACAGGGTCTCACTACGTTGCCCAGACTGGTCTCAAACCCCTGGGCTCAGGTGATCCTCCCACCTTGGCGCCCCAAGGTGCTGGGATTACAGGTGTGAGAATTCATTGTAAGAACTGAGTTCCAATGTTCCATTGCACAATAGACTGAATATAAGTAACAATAATGTAACAAAATAAAATAGCTAGAAGAAAGGATTTTGAACGTTATCACCACAAAGAAATGATGAATCTATGAGATGAATATGCTAATTACCCTGACTAGCTTATAACACATCATATAAATGTACTGAAACATCACATTGTATTTCATAAATATGTACAATTGTTATGTGTCAACTAAAAAATAAAAAATACATGTAAGGCAAAAGGAAAAAAAGTAAAAATAATACTCTGACAATAAATAATATCTTAAAAATATATGGAGCTTGAAACTTCAAAGTATTGTACTTTGTTATTTCATCACATGATAAACAAAATACCCTTGGGAAGTACATAGTTTTTATTGCCTTTTCATCAGAAAAGAAAAATACACATTGGTTATTTGCCTAAAGTTACATACATGGCTAGAGAATAAATGAGTGCACACTAAAATCCATTATCTGTAGATTCCAGTACAAAATGGATTATAAGCATTACCTCAGTAGATTGGGAAATTAGGGAGAGGAGGGAAATATCAAAAGTATGTTAGTCTTCCCTGTATATGACTACATGTTTATTATTTATTGGTTACTTTGCCAGAATCATATAACACACAAATTAGTCAAAGTGTCCTCATAATCTAATTCAGCATTTTTAAACCCTTTTAAATTATTATCCCACCAGTCAAAAATAATGTCTGAGTTTATATGATGAAAAAAAATTTTTCAAAACTTTCCTCAACAGATTATCACACTATTGACAATTCTTTTTTCTTTTTCTTTTTTTCTGAGACGACGTCTCACTCTGTTGCCCAGGCTAGAGCAAAGTGGCACCATCTTGGCTCACTGCAACCTCCGTCTCCCAGGTTCAAGTGATTCTCTCGCCTCAGCGTCCAGAATAGCTGGGATTAGAGGCATGCACCACCAAACCTGGCTAATTTGTGTATTTTTAGTAGAGACAGGATTTCACCATGTTGGCCAGATTGGTCTTGAACTCCTGACCTGAGGTGATCCAGCCGCCTTGGCCTCCCAAAGTGCTGGGATTACAAGTGTGAACCACTGTGCCCAGCCAATACCAATAATTTGTTTTAGAAACAGCAAAAACCACCCTTCTCTCTTGAGATTCAAGTATGTTCCACTTAAGGTACTGTGCCTCCTCAGCTGACATCACTGAAAGTGTAAGTCCCTGGTTTTACTGTGTAGAAACTCCGAATGAAAAGGTTGAGAGACTTGTTCATGATGGCAAAACTAGTTAGTAGCAGACGCAGGCTTTAACTCACAGGAGAGAAGTGTGCTCACTGGCACACTTCTTTAGACAGTGCACCATTCTTTAGATAGTCACAGCTCTTATTATAAAGTAACAAAATGGTAAGTACAGGTGTGGTTAGCAAAACATCCTCTGATACTATAGCAATTTTTAAGTAGAGATGAAGGCCTTGGATCAAATTATATCAGAGGAAACAAATGTGTAAAGACATTTTCCTCTACCAAAAACTTTTTTGTTAACCAAAAACTTACAAAATTTCAATTATCTACAACAGAATTGTTGCTGGGGATGAGGGTGTCTTGTTTTTGAGGCGGGACAGAGCTCTGCTGCCTGGGCTGGAGTGCAGAGGCTTAAACACCGTTCGCTGCAGCCTCAACCTCCTAGGCTCAAGCAATCCTCCCAACCTCAGCCTCCCAAGTTGTTGGGACCACAGGCATGTGCCATTACCTTCAGCTAATTTTTAAAAATTTTATGTTGAGATGGGTCTTGCCATATTGCCCAGGCTGTGGTTTTTTTTTTTTTTTTTTTTTTACCCTTTTTTTCTTTCTTTCACACTTTTAGGGACTCATAAAAATCATGAAACTGCTAACTGAGTTCTCAAACTGGCAGGGTTAAGATGGGGCATATGGGACAAACTACAGACATGCATCACCTCTGCTGGGTAATATCATCGAAGGTCAGTGGAAAACCTGAAATATTACTAGAAATAGCTTTTCAAACTATGGGCTGTAGCCCATTACTGAGTTATAAAGGATAATGTAGCACTGTAATCCCAGCACTTTGGGAGGCCGAGGCAGGTGGATCACGAGGTCAAGAGATCGAGACCATCCTGGTCACCATGGTGAAACCCCATTTCTATTAAAAATACAAAAAGTTAGCTGGGCATGGTGGTGCGTGCCTGTAATCCCAGCTACTCAGGAGGCTGAGGCAGGAGAACTGGCTGAACCCAGGAGGCGGAGGTTGCGGTGAGCCGAGATCGCACCATTGCATTCCATCCTGGGTAACAAGAGCGAAACTCCGTCTCAAAAAAAAAAAAGATAATGTAGCAAATGGAGTGTATCACATGTGATACGGTAAACATTACACCATGAGACTTTTGTTAGCATGTGCGTGTGTGTGGGTGTCTGCAGCAAAGAAGAGACCTAAGCTTACAAGAGAAATCTCAATGTCTCTTTCCCCCTCTCCCCTTCACCCCCCGCCCCACCCTGGCTCACTCTCTTCTTCTTTCTCTGTCTCTCTCTTTCTATATATATATACATACAGAAACAACTTTTGGGAAGGTGCAAGAAAGACACAGCAAAAAAAGAGTAAATACTACAAAATTACCTCTACAAGATGCCTCAGAACTTTCCATAGAGTCTAGCTTTAAAGCATCGAACACCTCAAAATCCGATTTCTTGACATGGATCAAATTGTTAATTGTGCCGAGCTGACTGGTAACCACAGGCTGAAACAGGGAAAAGAAAAAAATACTGAATCTCTCTTTCAAATCCATCTTTTCCATCCAACCTTCCTCTTTTATCCTAAAATTTACATGTGATTAGACTCAGCACCTCCATATTTTATCAAGAGAGAAATCCTCCAGTGTAGGGGAGCAGCTGCCCATCAGTCTTGACAGAAGTGACAGCTAAAATGGGGCTGCTAAGTCAGTGGTTACCCTTGGAGATCAAGGCCTTACCTCTGATGGATCATGAACCCACTGTCCATCCACAAAGAACTTGTATTGGTGTTCTCCCTCAGGGAGGTCCAGGATGGCAACAAAGTCATTATGGCTATGAAGAAAAAGAAAAGCAAACAGGCCGAGTTCCTTTCAGAAGACCAAATATAAAAAACAAGTGGCAATCACAGTATCACATGAAGGATCTCCCAGATTCCTAAGCCACTGTATCCCCTGGTGTGAAAAACAATGTATAAACCCATTCTCCTCTTTTGTATCATCTTGGACGTGTATTTACCAGCTCCTCCCAACAACGTTAGTTCTTAACCAGTATCTGGAAAAGAATAATAAAAGCATGAATCCTCTGGAATGGTGCACCCTAGCATAACTACGTTGCTTCAGCAGAACAAGCTCCTAGCCAGTGCAAAGAAGATAGGTAGGTTCAGGACACAGTGCCTCAAGGTATCCTTTCTCTATTTCCGTGAACCTTTTCTGGAAAATGACCTACCATACAATGGGCCATTCTGACAACCAGTTAGACCATTCATTATTGCTGTGGGAGCAACAAATAACATGACTAGCTAGAACTTCAAAATGTGTTTTGCTTTAGTGCAGAAGTCAGGGCAACAAGCCTCAGCCAGTTACAGAAGACTTCCCACAAGCACAGCCCTAACGAATGGAGCCACAAAGCTATTATGAATCCCTCTGAGGCAATCATATTCGAAGGGGTAAAACATCTCTGACTCACTATGAAGTTTAAAAAAATCCCACAGATATACTAAGTGGCCACAGAAAGGGCATGTTCTAGAGAGAGTCCTTAGCAGTGGGGAAAAGTAGTCCAGTGGCGTTTCTCTTCTGAGAAAAGAAATTAGGTCACTATTCCTGGACCCTTAGATTCAACCAAGACACTTGTCTTCACCTCTTAATCAGTGGAATCTTGGTGCTCCAATTGTTGAAGGACCCAGAGATGAAGACCTCCTTGCCTCCTTCAGACCAGCGGATAACAGTGGGCCGGGCCTGCTGTGTGGGCTTTACGGAGTCCTCCAAATCCTGCTGCCAGGATACAAACTCTTTGTCCCCAGGGAGCTGTAAGAAGGAGTAGGTCATCCCTAGAATAAACTGTGACCCAAGAATTCTAAAAGGTCACTCTCCTCCCTAGGGTAGAGAAGGATGCTAGGCTTTAGCTAAGGATATAAACCCCACAATCAGCAACTAAATCTGAGTTTGAACAAATTATAGAAAAAAAAAAACTCATTTAGGACCAAAAATGGTCAAATGGCCTATGCTTAAGTACCTCCTAAATCATAGCCTGACTTTTGAGTCTACCTGCATCATCCACCCTTTCCGCGCCTTAGACTCTCCTTCAAAAAAAAGCAAGAAAAAACTATTCCCTACCACTAGTTTAACTCATAAGCAGGCAATTATTATACACTTCTGAGTCTTTAAGAGAAAAAAACATATAAAAACAAAGTATGGTTCTATTAAAAAATAATATATATTTTTATAGGCAAATATGAATAGCTCTCAATTACCAGCTGTAATGGAAGTTAGAGACATCAAAATTCATAATTCATAAACGCTATTTCTGCTAATAAGTTACAAAAAGAAGAAACAGTAAAAACTCAAAAACCGGATCACTGATTTCTTAAAACTTGAGAAGTAGCTATGAAATCTTACTTGCTCCCCTGTGCTAGGTTTATACTAATTATTTCAGGAGTAGGAACAAAAATTCTAGAACCTCAAGGAGCAAGAGATCGAAAATACAGTTTCCTTTATCAAGAGTAGTAATCTTACCAAATGAGGTATGTGGGATTGCAAAAAAAAACATCTCCTGTTTCTTTTCATTATCATCCTTTGGACCAAGAGTTGGCAGACAGCCAGTGAGCCAGATGCTTTTATCAAGTTTTATTTGAAAACAGCTCCACTTATTTGTCTACCTATTATTTATTTATTGAGAAACGGCCTTGCTCTGTCACCCAGGCTAGAATGCAGTGAGTGGTGTGATCATAGCTCACTGCAGCCTTGAACTCCTGGGCTCAAGCCATGTTCCCAAGAAACTGAGACCAGAGGTGCGAGCCACCATCCCTGCCTTGTTTACCTGTATTACTTATAGCTACTTACAAGCTACAGTGGCAGAATTGCACAGCTGTAACAGAGACTGCATGGTCTACAATGTCTAAAATAGTTACTACCTGGCCCTTCACAGAAAGTTTGCTGACCCCTGTTTCAGATTGGTTTAAGTGACTCTGGTAAATGAGACTGTAGATTATTAAGCCTAAATATTACCAAATAGAATAATGTGGGCTTCCCCCCCCCCCAAAAAGGACTGGCTTATTCATTTGGGCCTTCTTTTCAAAATGGTTGACATAGTTTCCCCTCCATACATTCTCGTGATATTCCCCAAAACTACAGTACGAGACATCAGTAGCAGGATAATCCAAAGTAAACAGAGAAAGAGAATTGAAAGGACTTTCACATTATATAAGGAACTGACTTAAGAGAAAACTACATATTCTCAGAACAATGTACTCTTGCATGACTGACTGTGTTAGAATTGCAAGAATTTTACATATGCCTAAGAATAACCCTAAGATTCTGATTCAGATATAAGATCTGGGAATCTATTTTTAAAAAGCTTCCTAGATAATACTGTAATTATGTTAAAATAAAGTAAAAAAGCTTCCTAGACATACCCTGATTATGTTCAAATAAAGAAAAATCCCTCATCTTTAGAAGTAGATCTAAAATGTTACAGATAAAATAATATTTGATATAATGTCTGGAAATTTGCTTCAAAATAACTAGTGGGGAAATAGCGGACTGGGGTATAGATGTCATTCCTTAGAGATCTGATCATTCTTCAGACTGGGTGGCCCGTATATAGACATCATTATGCTGTTTCTCCTACTTTGTAAATGTTTCAAATTTTCCATAAAGTATTTAAAGAAATCTCAGGTGATTCTTATATGCAAACAGGATTGGAACCACTGAACTAGTCCACTGAAAAAGGCAAGCATTCAAAGCCCCTGCCTGTTTCTATCACTTACTTTTACGGCAGGATTTTCAGTTTAGAATTTGAAAGCTACAAACTATTAATATGCCTAGCTTTGGAGGAAAGCCCTTCCACTTATGACATGACATTTCTGTGGTAGGAATGAATGCAGCTCACTAGCAGAAAGACTGTTTACTCCAAGTTACTCAGCAAAACTACGAGGAAAACGGGCAAAACAATTAGAACTACAGTTAAATGTTGAGGTTAGAAGTAAAGAGGGCAGATTGAAAACTATAAAATTTTAGATTTAAGTAAGACCTTAAGAATTATCTGAACTAATTTTCAGACAATCTGAAAATTATCTGAATAATTTTCTAAATTCACAAAAGGCAAGACTGAGGTGAGAGATAAGAATAATCCAAAATAGGCCCCAAATCAGACAGAGCAACCTGGCTTTTAATCAGGACACCGATTACTGCAGTCACAGTTTGACAAATACACTGTATTTAAATCCTGAGTCATCAACATAGGAAAAGGATAAAAATACAATGAGGCAGATCACCTTTAGAAAGCTCCAAAGACATAAAGTCAGATGGCTTGTAGAAAGCCCAAATGATGCAGAATAAATTCTCAGGGGAAGAAAAGAATGGATAATAAACCCCAAGAAAGGCTCCTTTTAATCACTCTCACTTCTCTGTCTGTGATTTTGGTTTCTTTGTTTTTTGAGACCGAGTCTCACTCTGTCGCCCAGGCTGGAGTGCAGGTGCAGTGGCTCCATTTAGACTCACTGCAACCACGGCCACCTTCTCAAATGACTCTCCTCCCTCAGCCTCCCGAGTAGCTGGGATTACAGGCATGCCCCACAACGCCCGGCTATTTTTTTTTTTTTTTTTTTTTGTATTTTTAGTAGAGACAGGGTTTCACCATGTTGGTCAGGCTGGTCTCGAACTCCTGACCTCAAATGATCTGACCGCCTCGGCCTCCCAAAGTGATGGAATTACAAGCATGAGCCACTGCGCCCAGCTGTGATTATGTTATCAATTGAGATCCAAGGAAATCAATCATAGAATCCAAATTCCATGCGTTACCAATATGGCAAATAATCCTCTATTCACTCTCTAAAGCTCCAGTTCCTTGGGAAGTGATGAAATGATAAGAAACATCAAACACACCCCAATCTCCTCAAGCCCTCCATTTTTCCATCTCATCCCGTCAGCCTACTTGGAAGAATTACATACATCTCATCCTGACAACCCTAAAAGCGATTGGAAACATCAGAATGGCAACCACTGCTATCAGCTCCATCTGTCCTTTCTTACAGAGTGAAAATAAGTTGCCCTCTTCCTGAAAGTACTTGGAATTGAGGGCAAGGACTTCAGGGCAGATTTGGGTTGTGGATTTTTAGCCACGCAACATTTTGAAGTACCACTGGGGAGTAAACAAGTCGTGGAATCATCTGCTCTCCCACCTGAGGAGCAGCAGCGGGGCGTGAAAGTGGCACAACCTCAACCATAACTATAAAGTATGAGACAAAAATAAAGCAGTCAACCAAATGATGTCCTTAATTGGTCCCCAAGACTAGAGGAAAGTATTCCATAACTAGGTAGCTGCTGCTCACAGCCCTGCCAAAGGGAAGAGATCACAAGAGCAGAACGGCTAGAAGGGCAAAAATGATACTGATGCAGAAATTTTCAGAAAAAAAGAAATTCATTTAGCCACCTCAAGGCAAAGAAAGACCACCCATAGTCAGCAGCTCCTGCAACCTGCCTTCTGAAGTTTTCCAGCAGAGCTTACAAACTACAAATTCATCAACGCTATAGAAGAGGGCACTCGTGCATGTTAGGAAAAACCAAGGTGGTGGGGGAGGCTGTCTATTGTCCCCATCCTAAAACTGTGGCCAACAGAGTAGTCAGAACACCAGGAAAACAAAAACTCCTTCTCTTTATAATTTTGAGGCGGCACTGCAAGAGGAATTACCGTCCAACACCTCTGTCCCGGAAAAATCCCTTTAATTCAAAAAACCACCGCCCGGTTCAGTACCCCGTTGGAAAGAACCGAGAAAGGGAACGGGAGCCCGGAAACCAACCCGCTGCAGCTCAGCCACCAGCTGGGCGCGTGGGACACTTACCTTGGAGTCGGGCAGGCTGAACACGCTGGGGTCGTCCGTGCTTCCCACCATGATCTTGTGCTCCTTCCCCGGGGCATGGCCGCCGGCGCCCTCGGCGCGTGCAGCCTTGGCGCCGTGACGGTCCCCGGACACCCGGTCGCTGGCGGTGTTTCCCATGGCTGCAGCTCGGCGGGGACCACCTACCGCGGGGAACAACACCTGGCGGTGAACACCCCAGCCCCGCCCCTGCGCCGTGGGACCGCGCAAGGGATTCCCCGCCCCAGGGACGCCGAGCCCCGGAGCCCTCTCTCTCCCGGCCTGCGGGGACGCCTGCAAATGCCCCGGCGCGCTCGCTGCCGCTAGCCAGGAACCCTGCTATCGGGACGTCCCCCGCGTCCCCGCACTCACAGCCAGGGGCGCCCCCACCCCAGTCACCTCGGGCGAAGCGCTCACTCCTCCAGGGGCCACTGACGTGATGGCTGTTCTGCAGATCACGCCACCAATAAAGTTATTGAAATTGAAGCCGCACCCCGCCCTGCCGATCCGTGATTCCTCCTAAAATGGCTACAAGGCCGGCGGCGCGGAGCCCGCCCCGTGCGCGTTCCCTGCGGCCCGCAGCCGCGGCGCCCGGGGCCCGCCGGCCTCTCTAGCCGCCGCCTCGATGGTGGGCAGCCGCGCGCAGCCTCTAGCGCCAGGAGGGGGCGCCAGGCGGGGCCTGTGAAGCCTGGCGAGGCTGCGCCCGGGATGGCTGGACCGCTGGGCCCCTGAGACTACCCGGCGGAGGGACGTCCCCAAATGACACTCGGAGGCCGCATCCCTGGACTCCGGTGCTTGGTGCCGGGAGGAGCGGAGCGGCTTTCGACCCGGCCTCAGATGCGCCAGCACGTTTTCTGGGCAGCATCTGCGTGTTAGGCGACCTGGCAGGTGGGACCCTCATAGGGAAGAAGAAAACGGACTTCCAGCTCCAGGCAGAAGGAAGCAGTGGTCGTTGCTCCCGGCGCGGTGGCTCACGCCTGTAATCAAACACTGTGGGAGGCCGAGGCGGGTGGATCACGAGGTCAGGAGATCAAGACCATCCTGGCCAACATGGTGAAACCCCGTCTCTACTAAAAATACTAAAATTAGCTGGGCGTGGTGGCGCGGGCCTGTAGTCCCAGCTACTCAGGAGCCTGAGACCTGAGAATCGCTTTAACCCGGGAGGCGGAGGTTGCAGTGAGCCAAGATCGCACCACTGCACTCCAGTCCAGCCTGGCTACAGAGCAAGACTCCGTCTCAAAACAAAAAAAAATTGTTCTATGGGGAGCGACAAGGAAGGAACTGTCAGCCCTTCCTTGGACTGGGGTCGCAGGGAAGAATTCAAGATGGAGTGTTTAGGAGATAGACCTTGACAAATTAGTAAAATGTTAGTCTTAGGAGTCGGACGAAAAGACTCTCCTAGGCTACGAAACAGCATACACAGTGAAAAACCTCAGAAGAGATAAAATTCAAGGAAGAGAGCAACAACGAAAACGTCAGAAAGAACACTAAAGGTATAAAAAGGGCAAAGACAGCCCTAGCGTTGGGAGGGATCCAGGTTTTTTATGACAATTACTGAAATCTCTAAGGTATTTACAAATTCTTACTTTGTATTATAGTTATTTGTATGTCTCATTCCCTACTAGAAACGTTTATTCCTCTGCATTATACAGACTAGCAGCGTTGGCATCACCTGGGAGCCTGTTAGAAATACAGAATCGAGGCCCCAGGGTTCATAATCGAGGCCCCAGGGTTCAGAATGTGCATTTTAACGTGTGTGAGAAGCACTGCTTTGACAGCTGGGAGAGAGAAGATCCAGATTTGATTCCTTTTCATGTACAGAATGGACTTTTCATAAGCATTTGTGGAATGAAGGATACAGGAATACTGTTTACTGTAACACATTTCTAACAAGATATGCCCCTTAGGCTTAAACACGCCCAGTGATGGGAAACCCCAAGTTACATAGGCCACTCTTTCTCAGTGAGCAGCTCTGTTTGTAGAAAAGTTCATTTTTATATTAAGAAGTTGACAGCCCACTTAAGTCCAACAAATTCACTACTCCCCCATTTTTTTGCTGTGCCTCTTATAAACTCATTCTCTGGCTCATAAACCAAAGACAGTTTACAGAAAAAAATAAGGTACGATTTTCCTGCAACTTAGTCCCAAAACCTTTACCGTCTGAGTACATTGTTTTTGGTTACCCCTACCTTTCTCTCTGTACTTCAATTCCTTACCGTAGGACACTGAAGCGAGGCCCTTGAAGCTATAATTAAACCTTGGCTTGGGTAGTATTCCGTCTTCTGACCCCTAGGTGGTTTCACCATGCCAAATAATATGTCCTTGGTATGTATTTCCTTGCAGTAAGCAAATCAGATTAGCAGAAACTAAGTATGTTAGCCAATGGAACGCTTAAGGAGAGAAATAAACTGTTTTTGCACAGCTAAATGGAAATGACTTTTGGATTATCTGCTTTGGAAGATTATCCATGACACTGTTCTGCTCTGCTCTGCCCTAACAGCATTTGTAAGTCACTCAACAGTTAATAATAAAAGTCAACTCTGAATATTGCATGTTTTAGACACAGAACAAATATAATGTGACACTGTAGGAAGAATTAATTCTTCTCCTTAGTCCCAAATTCCTTTTTTTCCCTTACATTCAGGAAGGAGTAGGTAAAGATACAAGATCCACTTAACCAGTATCAGTATAATTGTTCCCTTTAGATTTATTGCTGTCACCCCAATGCTCTTCTTTTTTTCTAGAGGGAAGGAAAAGAAGGAGGTAACAGGAAAAGCAATTGGTGGGGGTTGTCCCGATGTTACGGTGTCTAGAATGTCATTGCCACTGGTTTCCTCAGATCAATCATTCTGCCTGATAAACAGGAAAATAACATGGGCAGCCTCTCATGCAATCTTTTGATCTCACTTTCTCTGAGAGGTGAGGATGTGAGAATGGGGCAAGAGTATATTGATTTTACAGAACTGGATGACAGGTTAAATTGGGCATGTGGAGGCTTATATTCCCATCTCCACTCACCAAGCTTCATCCTCCATTTATGACCAAGGATAGGTATGACATCTGATTTTGATGGCTACTGTTTCAAAAAACAATCACATCTTTTTTATAAAGTTAAGATTCACTTAATCATGCAGCATAGTAACTCCCACACCTGGGTATTTATCCAAGCAAGTTCACACAAAACCCTGTACACACATATATGTCTTTATTCATATAACAGAAAAAACAGAAACCCTAAAATGGAAAAAACATTAGTGTCCATCTCCGGAGGGTGTGGTTTGGCTCTGTGTCCCCACCCAAACCTCATCTCAAATTGTAATGCCCCAAGTTGAAGGAGGGACCTATAACCCCCACATGTCAAGGGAGGGAAGTGATTGATCACGGGCCAGTTTCCCCCATGCTGTTCTTGTGATAGTGTGTGAATTCTCACCAGAGCTGATGGTTTAAAAGTGTTCAGCGTTCCTCCTTCATTCACACACTCTCACTATCTCTTGCCTGCTGCCATGTAAGATGTGCTTGCTTCCCCTTCCACCATAACTGTGAGTTTCCGAAGGCCTCCCCAGCTATGTGGAGCTATAAGTCAATTAAACCTCTTTTCTTTATAAGTTACCTAGTCTCAGGTATGTCTTTATACCTGTGTGAAAACAGACTAATACACATGGTGAATCAATAATTACAATGTAGCATAGCTATCAATGGAACATTACTCAGTAATAAAAAGGAATAACGATATATACAATAATATTGATGAATCTCAAATGCATTATGGGAAGTAAAAGAAGTCAGGCTCCACTTATATGACTTTCTGGAAAAAGAAAGACTATATTATATGGTAGTACAGATCAGTGTTTGCCAGGAGTTGTAGATGAGGGCTGGGAGTGATTGACTACAACGAGGCATGAAGAAATTTTGAAGGGAGGTATGGAACAGATCTGTGTCTTGATTGTAGTACAGTAAGTGATAAAAAAAGTTAGTTTTGTATGAAAATTATTCCTAAGTTTTAAAAAATAACAATACTATTAATAAAATCAGCTTTAGCAAAAGATACAAGTTTATACACAAGAGACTACTCAACCACTGAGTAAACTAATTATTTTTAAAACAAATACCACTGATTTTAATCTTTTCATAGTTTCTATACAGGCAGAGAAATAGAAGTGATTCCGCTCACCTAAAGGAAGATAGAGCCAATTCAAAGGTACAGAATTTTCCCCAAATCATACTGTAATTTTTCCTTTCAAATTCCAAAGGATAAGAATATATATATATATTTGTAATCTGCTTTAAAACGATTAGGAAAATGATCGAACCTTTTAATATAATTACAAGATATGGTAAGTTGATGAATATTTTTAGACATTCATCAGTAACAAGAGCTTTGTATCTTAAGTTGTTTTCAGTTCAGGTTCCTATTCACATCTTTTAGCTTGGTTGTACTAAAAAATTATTAACCAATGATTTTTTTTGTAACCTTATATAAATATGTACGAAAGAATCAATTAATTTAGAATTATATACTCATAATTCAAAAAAGAAACTGGCATACTTATTGCTGATAACTAGGAATTATATTATCAAAGGACTGTTAATTCAACAAATTTACATGCTAAAAGACAAATTTATATGTTAAAAGAAAGAAATTAAAAGGAAGCAAGAGACATTAAATTTGCTTCTGATCTGCAGAGTTAAAAATACTAGGTCCCTTTTTTTTTTTTTTTTTGAGACGGAGTTTTGCTCTTGTTACCCAGGCTGGAGTGCAATGGCGCGATCTCGGCTCACGGCAACCTCCGCCTCCTGGGTTCAGGCAATTCTCCTGCCTCAGCCTCCTGAGTAGCTGGGATTACAGGCACGCACCACCATGCCCAGCTAATTTTTTGTATTTTTAGTAGAGACAGGGTTTCACCATGTTGACCAGGATGGTCTCGATATCTTGACCTCGTGATCCACCCGCCTCGGCCTCCCAAAGTGCTGGGATTACAGGCGTGAGCCACCGCGCCCGGCCCTATTTTAATAGATGATAAATCTCCAGTATCACAAGGATTAGGGATAGCAAAATACCTGGGAAGTAATATCAGTTTTCATTTCTCTAATTCTCAAAAGGCATTCCACAGGTAAATACGGTGAAATGGCAGGCAATTGTCCAAATGCTTACATAATTAAGAAGAAGTTGTAGTTCTCACATTTCTGGTTCTCTTACATGTGTTTGTATTAGGAAAGATAATACACTCTAATGTTTTTCTTTTCAGTTGTTCAAATTTATCCTGTTGTTAAGTAATAGGCAGCAATACAAATACAGACATACCACAGCTATTTTATGAACATCACCTGAGTTCAGTGTGCCTGACAGCTGACACGTAGTTAATGTCTCCATGTAACAAGAAGAGAGCGGAACTTCCACAGATGAGAAAACAGAATGATCAGCAGCACTGGGATCTAAACCCAAGTCCCTGAGTTCCATTTTGTTTGCTCTGTTTTTCAGAACTACACTTTATAAGATGAGAAAAACTGGTATAAGTAGAATGTTGTCGATTCTGATTTAATACATAAATGACTTGTTCAAATACTTATTACTTAGACTCCATGTAAGGGAGGAGAAAAGGGGAGAAAATTAGAGTGGGGGAAGATGAATCAAATCACATTTGTAGACCATACTACAACAGCTGGAAGCTACTTATTATATTTCCTAAGATAAAGTCTTGTTGGATCTTAACATGGGAACAAAGAGATTAAAAATGGTAAGACAGCTCATTTAAAGTCCCACATTTCTCAACCAACTTGATCTCATTGCAGATGGTAGATTGTGAATGACTATGAGCCTGGAAAGTTGAAAGTAATTTCTTTATTCAGAAAATAAAGACCATGTATCAAGTACACTAGTGAAGAGCAAGTGAAACAAAATATCTTAATATCTATATTTCTTATCTTAGATGCATACAACTATTATAAGACCATTATTTTTCTTATTTCTCAGGAAACATTGAGTTACAATATGAAAAAAAAGTGAGCTTCTAAAAGAAAATCAAATCCTATCAGAAGAGTTACATGGAGTAAGCAATTTTATACGGATGCCGATTTACTCTCCCTACCATAAAATCTGATAAACAGCAAACATTTATTAAGCACCTATCACATGTCGAGAACTGTGCTAAGGACACATGAAGATGACTAAGAGCACCCGAGCTCACAGTCTAGGGATTACCAGAAGAAAGACTGATGGATCATGAGTGGACGGGAGATGAATTAATACAAACAGCTTTCATTGTAGGAAGAAGGAAAGTGAATTAATGCTTTTGAAAGAGACAGAAAAGTAGATTTCTGGGCAATATGAAGCTGAGTGTCAATCTTGTCAGATTCTGAAGGCATCTCTAGATCAAGCTTCCCAGTGAAAATGGGGCAATGACAATAGGACAACTAGAAATAAGCTATAATTATAGCAAAGAAGGCAACAGCCAGCATAAACTTGCCTAATGTCATTTTTGAAGTCATAGAACTACTCTTTTCAACTACTCTTCCCATCAGAGGCTTCCTGATACGATCCTCTGTGGTGAGGATGGCTTTTCGAGCCTCATCCCACTTTCCAGGGCCCTGTAGACGATAGTGGATTGGAGTGCAGGGTCCCAGTAATAAGTGTAATGCCAGCTTGGGGTCAGTGAAGGCCAGAGCCAGCAGATTGGGCCTGACTCCCACCAAATCAGCAAGCTCTTCCATCGTATCTATGTAGTCTCCCTGAATGGTATGGCGTTGGCTCTCCACATACCTAAAGTAGAGAAGACAGAAATCAGGGCCTGTTAATACTTCAATCAGTCAATCAACCAATGACTGCCTTCTGAGTGCCTGCTGTTGGCTCAATATCAGACTAGGAGCTGTGGAATATAGAGAAGAAAACACCTGTCACTGTCCTTAAGGATCTTAGGATCTACAAAAGGAGGTAAGACAGATAAACATGAAGCAAAGACTTCTGAGTGGTTTCAGACTGCTAAATAGAAACGTGGAGAGGGGATAGTTAAAAGAGAGCTGTAATTGTTAGGTTCCTGAAGGGTGTGAAAGATACAAATAAGATGAGGGCAGGTATATAGCACATCCAGATACAAAGAACTCTGATGTTATGAGAGAGAAAACCCACCACAAAAATTCTCAAATATGGCATCCTCCATTATTTCCTGAGGGTAGCAATGGCAGAGTCTACAGGGTAGGACTTCCCACAGCCAGTGTTAATTTGGAATCCTGAAAGGATGATGGAGGGTGCCTCATTCCACAAGAGGAAGTAGCCCTCCAAATGCAGACAAACGAAATGATTACACCAAGCACAGATTTAAAGATTTAAAAGGACTTATTAGGAGGAAAATGTGGTTGGTTAACTGATATCTGTGTGGTGGAGTGGGATTTGGTGAGCTAATGAGTGACTTTCCCTTTTTACTTTCTGTAATGAAAAGAAGGAATGTAGGACAGAGAGGAAGAGAAAAGCCAAGTCAAGCTAATTGAAATTAAAGACCCCAAGAATAGGGACAGGGAAAAAAAATGATAGAAAATAAATTTGCAGTAGAACTGGTGAGATGGAATTTCAAAGGACCTGATAGAGGGTCAAGTAGGAATGTATTGAAATGGAACTACATTTAGGAGAGAAAACGTAAAGCAGTTAAGAATTTGAGAGCTTTCTCTTGTGAACATTATGTCGGCTCAAGGGTTTGTAGGCATGTGTTTATTTATCTTGTAATAGTAGGTCAAGAGCTATAGTATTCATGAGGTTGGACGTGGGGGCCGACGCCTGTAATTCTAACACTTTGGGAGGCCAAGGCAGGTGGATCACTTTGAGCTCAGGAGTTCAAGATCAGCCTGGGCAACATGGGGAAACCCCATCTCGACAGAAAACACCAAAATTAGCCAGGCATTGTTGGTGTGCGCCTGTAGTCCAGCTACTCGGGAGGCTCAGGAAGGAGAATTGCTTGACCCTGGGAAGTGGAGGCTGCAGTCAGCTGAGATTGTGCCATTTTACTTTAGACTGGGTAACAGACTGAGACCCCATCTCAAAAAGGAAAAAAAAAACCTATAGTATTCATGAAGGTTTCACAAAAGAGGTTCCCTAGCTCCTGCCTTGATTATGCAGATTAAATAAACTCATATAAAACAATGTATACACATAGTTGGCCTTTATTAAAGGTTATATTATATCCATGGTAAATAAACTCATATAAAACAATGTATACACATAGTTGGCCTTTATTAAAGGTTATATTATATCCATGGGTTACTGACCGCTTATGATCAGAAGGTGATTAGACAAAAATAAGTCAAAGGAAAGAGATGAGGAAAGTTAAAAATAAGACCATTTAGCGCCCGAAAGGGAAGCACTCCAAGAAGGAAGAAATGTTTAAAAGCGTCACACTCAGTAGTGAGAGGAAGGAAAATGAAGTTGGTCACAGATGACCTTTAAGAGAGCAGTTTCAGGAGTAAGGATGAACGTTCACAATGCAGAAGGCTTAGCAGGGGGCGAAAGGCGAGAATTTCGAACATTTAGCCAAGTTTCGCAGTGAAAGGAAGGAGGAAAATAGGAGAGCAGCTGGGATCGATAACGGAATTAAATAAAAACTTACTTTCTCCTCCTCTCAGACAAGGGAGAGTTATGCTAGTATAATCAGTTGAAGATAACCACCTCTTTAGGCCTGGAACAATTGTGCCTCTCACTTTTCCACAGAAATTTACAGGCTTACTATCAATTTCCACTTTGTCCAAATAAAAAACACCCAGCAGTCAAGCTTAAGTTCTGAAACTCAGGCTGCTAAATGATTGTGTTCACCAAAACACTAAGCAGCTAGCTGTTACCAGGTTCCCAGGCCACGAGGACTGTGCATCCCATGAGCCACTGTGACTTGAGTGTGCTGTCTCAGGAACGCAGCTGCAAGGCAGCCCCTGCAGACTTGTCAATCTACCTACAGATTTGTGATTCACTCATAGCTGCCTTTCATTCATTCACCATCACTTCCTTCCTCTGGCAACTCCACTAGCACTTCAGGTAATCCTCACAAAAATAATACACCTGATTTTCTTTCTATATGCTTTTTCCTATGTGACTTTTTTTTAAGGCATTAAACACAGGATTTTAAACACCTAAAACTTTTCTCTCCCTTCTCATCCATATTCAGATTGCTAGTCCTATTTCTTCATTCTATCATCACAAACTATTTTTCCTTTTTTCTTCAAGATAGAATCTAACTCCTTAAGCTAAAATCAGGAAGTTAAATAAATTACAATATTTCTCTTATTAAAAAATAAGTAGAAATAATAACCATATATCTTCCTGGGACATTTTCTTACCTTTTATCCATTTCCTCTTGAGCTTTAGATATTTCTGCCATCATTTCACTCTGTGAGGGCAATGTTTTTAGCCCTAAAGATGAAAATTAAAAATTTAACTGTAAAATTACCTCAGTAGGAACAATAATCCTATAATCCTATAAACAATTACTATGCTATGGGGAATTCAGAGAAATACAACATAGTTTCCCGTACTCAAAGAGGTTGTAGTCCACTTGAACACCTTACTCTACCGCCACTACTATATACTATTAACATCTGTAGCTTACTGTACTTACTCTGCTTTGGAAGAGATTTCCCCTACTCTGACTTCCAACCAATAACCTGCCTCCTCCTTAATGTATTCTTTCAATTGGGAAAAAAATATATAAACATGAGAAAATGGCCTTAAAAGTATATGGAAAATCAGTCACAAAGTTAAAGGGCAGGGAAGTGGGGAAACACACCTGTATCTGTATTCTTGATAACAAAGAGGCCTTATGTCACAGAAAGAGAAGGAAGCAAAAATAAAATCTTTTTTTTTTTTTTGATTGATAAGAGTAGGGGTTAAGGCTAAGAGGAATTCATAATAACTAATCTTGACTGATAAGTACAATGCACAAACAGTTCCAGTAGTAGGAATTATACACCAAGGACAGGGCTAGACAAAGGCTGAGTCTAAGTCAGTATGAATGATGCCAAGCTTAAACAATTAGTTGTATGCCCCTATAACTAGGACTATGCCATGTAGAAGATTTTGGCCACATCCAGTCCTAAGGCTGACTGGAATTATATTCTATGTTTCATAAAATTCTGGAATATAGAATTTCAGAATCGCAATATATTTTACCTGATACAAGCGTTCTTTCTACAAGTACTCCACCCTGATGGTTGTCTCATCCCTCCTTAAACATCTCCGGTGATGGGTATCCACAATAATTATATCTGAGGTGATGTCAGAATTATTTGACTGCTCTAGCTGCTGGAACAGTATTATTTTTTATTGACCCCAAGATCTGACTCTTTGCCTTTGTACCATTGGACCAAGTTCTGCCTTCTGGAGCCACAGAGTTTGATCTTGATACATGACGGCTCTTGAAACATTTGGAAACAATTATCATAACTCCTTTAAGTCTTCCCATTATCAGGCTAAACAGTGCAAGTTTCCCAAATAATGGGTTTCACATTCTCTGCCGTCGTGGTTGCCCTTCCCTGAGCGTACTCTAATAACTATCTCGGTGTATCCCTCTTAAAACATGGAACTCAGAAGGCCAACACTCTGAAACAGGCTTCGATGTCTTCCATGTGTTCTTACATTTTAGCCGTGGGAATTATTATGTATCTTCATAAATCAATTAGGAAATACTGTAATGCTTCATTTAAGATTAATCATAGGTCTCTTCGAAGAAATGCATTTTAAAGTGAATTTCCAAATTACTTCTCTCAAACCACAAGCTTTTCTAATCAGCTTCCTCAGGTTGAACACAGGTTTTACTTCTATTAGCTAGAAACATGAAGGAGGAGTTCTATTTCTTGATTGTGATTCCAATCCCAATTCATGAAAGAAAGAAAAAACCCCATCTATTTATTTTTCTATCTGTCTATATACAGATAGATAATGATGTATATGCATCTTAGTCTAGATCTCATGGGGTGAAAAAAACGTAAAAAAATTTAAAAATGTTTAAAGATGTACACATCTTTTTACCTGTATACCCTGTGGTGCAGTTATGTCTTAATTCATGAATTTTGTTTTTGCAGTGTTTCTTTGTTTAGACACATTAGTTTGAGCATATTTCGTGTCTCCCTCCATGTCTTGCTCCCCATCTTAGATTCCCAATTCAAATGAATGGCCTCTACACCTGAACAGATTCTTTTCTGCCTCTCTTCTCCAACATGCTTCTGTCACACCAAATTCTTCAGATTTGCCTGTGAAATTTCATTTAAGTCTGGCTCCTCCAGTTCCTTTAGATTGTCATTACCTTAGTTTAAAGCCCTCATGATGTCTTACTGAGACTTTTATGACAGGCTCTTACTGATCTATTTCCCACTTCACTCCCCTCTAACACATCTTCTAAACTGCAAACAGGATTTGACTCCTCTTCCAGTTAGCATCCTTCAGTGGGTATCTACTGTGTATATGAAATGCAGACTTCTTGATATTGCCTGTGAATATCTCTAGCTTCATTTGCCTTCATTCCTGTAACACTTTATTTACCAGCATTTTGAACTACTTGCAGTTCCCAGAACCCTATTTGTTCTGTCACTTCCTCTAACTTTGCATAAATAGTAGTGATTATTTCCCTTCCATGGCCAAGATTTCCTTGTCCTTTTAGTAAATTCCTACGTAGTTGTAGGGAAAATTGGGTACTTATTGCCCATTGCTCCCATAGCAGCTCTTCCACAGTTACTGGAGCACTTGCTTAGGATATAGTTAAATATCTGCTGAATGAACAAATCATTAAGTGTCTGTTTACTTGTCTGTCTTTAATGTGCTTTGGCTGTGTCCTCACCCAAATCTTATCTTGAGTTGTAGTTCCCATAATCCCCATGTGTCATGGGAAGGACCTGGTGGGAGGTGATTTAATCACGAGGTGTTTACCCTCATGCTGCTCATGCTGTTCCCATGATACTGAATTCTCACGAGATCTGATGGTTTTCTAAGGGTCTTCCCCCTTCACTCCATACTCATTCTCTCCCCTGTGGCTCTGTGAAGAGGTGCCTTCCACCCTGATTGTAAGTTTCCTGAGGCCTCCCAGCCATGCAGAACTGTGAGTCAATTAAACCTCTATTCTTTATAAACTACTCAGCCTCAGGCAGTTCTTTATAGCTGCATGAGAACAGACTAATACAATCTTCTTGCTGGACTCTGCATTCTAGAAAGATGGGGATTTTCTGTTTGGTTGCATTTGCATCACTAGCCCCTAGCAGAGGGCCTGGTACATACCAAGGGGTCAGTATATGTTATCTGAAGTGTTGAAGAACTGTGAGGAAGATCCGATGGATCCAAGACAAGGTGGGAAGGAAGAGAGCCTGAACTATAGTTCTGTGGTCGTAGGCCTTCAGTCTGCTGTCAGCCTAAAGCAGGTTGTATCTGTGTAATCCTGACTTGCCCCTCCACATTTCAGTGCATAGCTAATGCTTTGAGAGAAGAGATCTGGCTGCCATTCTGCAATTTCAGTCCAGTCCAGGCTTTTTTTTTTTTACATAACTCGAAATTGGCTAAGGTAGCCCATAAGCTGATATCCTCGGATAAGAAATTTCTACAAGAAATTTAGAACTTCATTTACCTCAAGGCTAAACTGGTATTTATTAGAATAGAGACTTATTAGATACCTCATGTGCTAGGCACTTGTCTAGGCTTGCAATACAAAGGCAAATAAACATGCATTTTAAGTAAAGAGCTATCACTAGACTACTAAGGGAGGGAAGAAATACACATAGACTTTTTCTATACAAATAAAAGGTAAAGGGAGGGCATACCAAGAAGAAAGGATGGTGGAAGCAAAAGCACAGGGTACAAGGGTACCGGCTGTGTTTGCTGCTTAGTGGGTACCTCACCCAGTGCATCTGGAGTATTGTAGGAAGTATGGTAAACACTAGTGAAAGATTGGGCCTCAAATTGGAGGCTGTATCCAGTTTGTGGAGGACCTTGAATGCCATGCTATGACATACTGCCCTCTTGTGATCCAGAGAGCTGGTGTAACTTGATGGCCTTTTCAAGGAAAGAAAGTCGCTGAGTGAAAATAAAACCCTTGCAAGAGCTGCAAAGGAGGCAAAGAAAAAAGAAACTGTGTTTCATTTCAGTCAAGGAAAGGAAGCAAATTGAGTGTTCCAGGAAAGAGTGGAGTATTTTCTTCACAAGAGAACAATAATTCCAGACGACAGAGGAAGAAGGAAAATAGGGTTTGGTTGGGGACAGACAAGGAAGGAGGCAGGCTTTCTTGGGCAGACATGAAAAAATGGGAAAAACCGGCTAATCCAAAGGGTTTTAAATTGGCATAGTGAAGGGAGAATTCAGGGAAGAGAAAGGTAAGAATGTGGGAGGCGCACAGATTGGCCATGGACAGAATGAAAAACCAGGGTTCCTGTTGGAAGTCTGGTAGAGTTACAGAATTCTGAAGATTTCTTCCTTTCAGTTATTAGAAAAAAGCTGGAGGAATTGGCACTAGGCTTCTGCTAGCATAGGAAGCTGGGTTTTTTTGTACATTTTCCCTAGGATCCCCTTATGTCATAGCCGTACTGCAAAGTCTTGCAAATACTCATCTCTATTTCCTCTCAATAATTCACTTGGTCCTGAAAAAGAGTCCCAGTTGCTTAAAGTGTAGTAAGATGCTGTCGCCTGTTTTAATGAACCATTCTCCCTTTATTTAATTGACCCAATTGGGTCACTTTAATATGACCCAATTGAAAGGTCACTTTAATTAAGCCAACCTAATGGGCTATTTGCATTTGACTACTTGCATAGTGCTCTCAGTAGTACATAATCTGCTGGATAGGACTGGGAGTGACAGAATTTTGGAGAAATTTAGAAAGGTTGTTGAATCATCAACTTTAACACCATTGCTTCTCTTTTTCTCTGCTACCATGAAGATTTTCATTAGGGAAAACAAAAAGCTGTAATTCCAACAGGAACACTAAATAGTTTTAATTGATTGCTAGTAACAATAGCAAATTTTGTTATAACAACCAAAGAATCAGTGAATTTCTTCTTTGGATGGACCCTTAAACACTGTCTTGTTTCTCTCTATTCTGAGACCTGAATTTACTTCATACCCCTTCTGCCCCGGCCCAATGAGCACCCAGTCATTTGGCATCCTTTTCCTATTCCGCGTAGAATTTCAGAAGCTGCCAGTCCCATCATGAAATGGCACAGGCTGAAAGGAGAAAGTTTTAGATTTGTTCTTAATAGTAAGCTGATGTGCAACCCTCAAGATTTCACTCCTTGATTCTGGTTTGACCCTTTGAAGCTATACTGAGTAAATCCAATCCTTCTTCCATGGACCATTCTTTCAGATGCTTGAAGGGAACTCTCATAGCTCTCCTGAAGTTTATCTTCAAGCTAAATCTCTCTCCAGCTTTTTCACTTGTACTTCAGATGGCATGTTTTCAAATCCCTTAAACCATTTTTCTCTCTCCTTATTTAATGCACTCCAGCTTCACTTTAAAAATGTATCATTAGGTGGGGTCTGGCCAGTCTGGAGAACAATTGTAATGCTGTTAAAGAAGCAATGGTGTTAAAGTTGATAGTTCAAAAAAATTACAGTTTTTAATGATGTTAGATTTAATTATTTCTTTGGAAGCTATATAATTCTAATGACACATATTAAACCTCTTCGCCCCCTTTTTTTGTGGGTACCCCTAGCCAAAACTGAAAGAGGGAAAATAAAGGGAAACTGTTAGAATTTGGGAGGTTGACTACCCTACATTATAAACTAGTCTCCAACCAGGTCTTCGTGTTTGGCCTAAATCAAGTCATACCATTTCTATATTTTATCTATAATGAAAGAAGATAAAACTATTTTACTTTACAAATATATGCCAGTTGCCTAAGATCTAGATGAGTAAATTCTAATTTGGAGTGCACATTGGAATCACTGGGGAACATTTTTCTCAAAGATTTTATAACTGCCCCAGCCCAGACTTACTAAATAAGCATGCATAGCTTGGAAAAATTTCCCAGGTATGATGTATGTCCATGGTTATAAATTGCTCCTTTAGATTCACTCAAAAATAGATTTTTCTATACCAACTTATACATGCTGTCTCTAGCTACTTAAAAACAAGTACCTAAACAGAGGTAAACATATCACCAAGTAATTAAGTAGTCTATTTGCATGGTCACTTACCTTTAAATACCTGAGTGGCCCAGCGTCCTTGGAGCTCTGCAATGGGCATAATGGCTCCTATGGGCTGAATCAAGCCTATGATTGCAAGAGTTGGCCTCTCCAGGTTGGGAGGGAAGACCTTTTTATACAAGGATATCTTGTTTTTTTCCACTTTGACAGAATCATCCAGAAAAGGAAAGGCAAAGGTATAGCCTGTTGCAAAGATGACAGCATCAATGTCATCCTCCCTGGAGCCATCCTCAAATATGGCAGCTGTCTCAGTGAATTCCTTCACATTTCCTTTAACTTTCACCATGCCGGAAATGATACGATTTGGCAGGTCATCATTTATGGTTGGATGCTGACTCAGAGCTCTGTGAGTGGTGGTAAAGATCAAGTGAAGGAGAAATGAGAGAAAGAGAAATCAGTACCATGTAAGTAAAATTTTGCTTTGGTGGACGTAAACAATATGCCAATAATCTGCACCTCGGTCAATGCATAAAGTTTGGGAAAGGTCTGATTTACACTATCTTGGCACAGATCAAGATCAGAGCTGAAGTTGGACCCTGGCTGGCACTGAAAGGGAGAGTGTTGGAGGAGTGAAGGAAGAAGAGTCTTGTCTGAGGAGTGCATGTATGATTTCTCAAGTTACAATAATGTTCTGTATGTGATATGATGAGGCCGCAGGCCAATAGTTTCTATTCTCATATCAAGAAGCCTGACAGAACTAAACTGTCAACATTCTGTCCAGTCTCACTTCCAGTTTCAAAGGCTCAAGAGCTAGGTTTAGGCCACTATTTTCCAAACTGTATAATAAATTACATGTATGTAGCAATTTACAGTTTATAAGTTGCTTTTACATGCATCAACTTATTTGACTCTCTCAAAACTCTATGAAGGAAGTAGGTGTCATTATCCAGGTTTTATAAATGAGGAAATTGAGGCCTAGAAAAGTTACATGATTTGTCCAATGTTACGCAGCCTAGGATTTTAGAATTTATCTCAAAGTTGTTTTCAATGAATTATCTTGGAGTACTTTGGGCCTGTTATTGTTTCCTAGGGACAACAATAACATTGTGTTGGTACAAAAGTAATTGCCTTTTTTGATGAAGTCTTGCTCTGTCACCAGGCTGGAATGCAGTGGCATAATCTCTGCTTACTGCAACCTCTGCCTTCCGAGTTCAAGCGATTCTCCTGCCTCAGCCTCCTGAGTAGCTGGGACTACAGGAGTGCGCCACCATACCCATCTAATTTTTGTGTTTTTAGTATAGACAGGGTGTTATGTTGGCCAGGATGGTCTCGATCTCTTGACCTTGTGATCCACCTGCCTCGGCATCCCAAAGTGCTGGGATTACAGATGTGAGCCACTGTGCCTGGCCTGCCATTACTTTCTTTTAATAATAATAAGGGTGGTTTCCAGTATCACGGATCTTTCTAAAAAGCCATCTTTTTTTCTTTTGAAAAAGACCTACTCCTTTTCACCTTATCTATACCACCTTATACAGTTGATCAAATTTTGCATAATTACTGTGGGATATACTGACATCGTGTGGTTTTAACGTGACCCACTGACATCAACGTCACCTGTGTAGTCTATGCGTCAAAAACATTTAACCTGAATATAATAAAGGAAAAAACTATGCAAGTCTAAATTTAGAGACTTTCTACAAAACAATGCCTTGGGTTCTTAAAAAGGAAGCCCATGTCAAAGAGAGAATTATTTCAGATTAAGAGAGATTAAAGAGACATGACAACTACATGTAATGGTGTGATTGATTACCTGGCAGGATACTAGATTTAAAAAGATTTTTTAAAGCCATATAAAATATTATTGGGGCAACTGTGGATACTGCCAACGTATTAGATAATGTATTTTAAATTTCCCAAGTGTGATAATTATATGATGGTTATGTAAGAGAGTGCCCTTTTTCTTATACGATATACACTGAAGTATTTAAAGTGTCTTAATGACTGCAACGTACCCAAATGGCTTCAGAAAAAAAATGTGCTTGTGTGTGTATGCTCTATATGTGTGGATCTATCTACAGAGAGGGGGAAGCAGCAGAAGCAAATACAGCAAACTGTTAACAGGTGAATCCAGGTGAAGGGTATATGGGCGCTGATTGTACTTATTATTTTGCAACTTTTGTATAGATCTGAACATTTAAAAAAATAAAAACTTGGAGGTAAAATAAATTTAGAATCAGCCTCTAGAAATGTTTTCCCTCCCTGGCTCCTCAACTTTCGTAGCACTCTGTGTACCTCTTTATTATACTCTGTTCTCTTTCTTCTCATTAGAGTATTTAAGGTAAGATCCATTTATTGAGTCTGTCATTCATTACTCGTGTTGCCCTCAGGAAAGTTACTTAGTTTCTATATGTCTTAATTTTTATATTTGTAAAATGTACATAGAAAATTATGGAGGCCAAAGCAACTCCCATCTTAGAAGCTAATCTACCATATTGATTTCTGATCAACCTCAGTTCCAGGAAGACCTCTGAGATTTCCAGTTAATCTGTTGTTTAAGAGCATGTACTTATCCTTAATTCCGCCCCCACCATAGGGCAAACTCCTACCCATTCTCGCTGAAGCATGTGTGCCCCTCCCTTATAGTATATAAGGCACGTTATATCCTGGGTCGGGAGATAATGGTACGGGGATCTAACATCTTGTCTCCCCACTGCCTGAGACACAGATGTGGCTTCTGTTCGTAAGTCCCTATTAAATGTTTCTAAGCAACTGAATTTGTCAGCTTCTTTCTTCAGCCTCTCAGCTTCCTCAGCCTTTGGGGTAGGTTTGCATAGACCTCCTCACTGTGAAACCCAACTGATGGGACCATTGTGAGGATGAAGTGAGATACCGCCTGTAACTCATTTAGCACTACGTTTATCTTGTAGAAAGTTCTCAGAAACGTGAGTGCAATGTCTGTTGCCATTACTATTATGTCTTTTCTCTCTGCATTTCGTGCCCACGTATGATACCTGGCTCATAACAGGTACTCAATGAGTAAATGATGCACCGCCCTCAGCTACCATTTTGTTGTTGGGCATCATATAAAAAGAACTGACATCTGGGGGAATGAGCAAAGGGTTAATGCCAAAGAGAAGTCCACACTAGAAACCCACAGACCAATAGAGCTTGGGCATCTGTGGGGACAAAGCAGAAATCTGATTTCAGATTCTTTGGGTCTTATAGGTTTTCTTTCTTTCTTTTTTTTGAGACAGAGTCTCACCTTGTCACCCAGGCTGGAGTGTAGTGACACAATCTCAGCTCACTGCAACCTCTGTTTCCAGGGCTCAGGCGATTCTCCTGCCTCAGAATCCTGACTAGCTGGGACTACAGACAGGCGCCACCATGCCTGGCTAATTTTGTATTTTTAGTAGAGATTGGGTTTCACCATATTGGCCAGGCTGGTCTCGAACTCCTGACCTCAGATGATATGCCTTCCTTGGCCTTCCAAAGTGCTGGGATTATAGGCATGAGCCACAATGCCCGGCCACTATGAGTTTTCTTAATGTGTGGGTAGAGGTAGCTCTACTATTAGCAAAGTGTGAATGAACAGTCCTTATTCTTGTGCTTTGGACATTACCCCTGCACTCCCCTCCTGGGGACACACCTGTGTTACCCCTGCACTCCCCTCCTGGGGACACACCTGTGTTACCCCTGCACTCCCCTCCTGGGGACACGCCTGTGTTACCCCTGCACTCCCCTCCTGGGGACACGCCTGTGTTACCCCTGCACTCCCCTCCTGGGGACATACCTGTGTTTAGGCTTCAGGCCAAACATTTCATGGTCAAACCTTTGATTCATCTTTCTTTCCAAATATGTGTTTGTTATTGACTGGCCACAGATCTTCGACATAAAATATTTAAGTCGAGAAGACAACAACACATCAGCAGGATATCCATAGTCTCCTACACGATTCAAGATCCAAGCCCCTCTCCTGGTGCTGAGGAAAACCTGGGACATGGGAGAAATTGTTTGCCTTTGTCACTCAGGATCATAAACCTTCAAAAGCACCCCCATTTTCTTCAAGAATCATTTCAAACTCATTAGCCTGGCTTTTCAGCCCCTGCACAATCTTTGTGGGTTTTTGTGTTTGGTTCCTGCCATTTTCCTTCCCAAACACGAAACTTACAATTAAATCGGTGTATCTACTGTGCAGGAACATGTCTTGCTGAGATCCACCATTGCATTTCTGTTTAGTGCCATTGTGCCTCCCTGGAATGCCTTCTCTCCTCTTAACTCTCTAAAGTCTGTTCATTTTTTTTTTTTTTTTGAGACGGAGTTTTGCTGTTGTTGCCCAGGCTGGAGTGCAATGGTGCAGTCTAGGCTCATTGCAACCTCTACCTCCCAGGTTCAAGCGATTCTCCTCACTCAGCCTCCTGAGTAGCTGGGATTACAGGCATGCGCCACCATGCCTGGCTAATTTTATATTTTTAGTAGAGATGGGGTTTCTCTGTGTTTGTCAGGCTGGTCTTGAACTCCCGACCTCAGGTGATCCGCCCACCGTGGCCTCCGAAAGTGCTGGGATTACAGGCATGAGCCACCAGCCCAGCCCAAAGCTGTTCAGTTTTTAAGACCCAAATCAAGACTGCCTCCTCCATGAAGACACCACTGACCATTCACTCTGACAGGTTTTCTCTCCATCCTTTGAACTTATCTAGCACTTATAACCTGTAGAACTCATTAAAAATCATGGAATGGTAAAGTTGAAAGCAGCTGGAAACCGTTTAATCTAAAACCCTCATTCTTTTGCCATTGACATTTACATTATTACAAAAATCCCTGTTATTTATATTTTTGATGATATTTAACTTTCTACACTCTTAATTTCTGTCTCTTCAAAGGTATTTTCTCAAGGGTAGGAGATATAGCCTACACATCTCCATAGCAGATTATCATCACTTCCGTTTATTGGGATTTTTGGCCTTTAAGTCACTGTGTAGGTCCTTCATCTATATGACAAAACCTCTTAAGGGAAATATTACTACACCCACGTTATAGATGAGGGGCATGGAGAGGATGAATAACTTGCCTGAGATCACAGAGCTAGTAAGTGGCAGAGCTGAATTTCCAACCCAGGTCTGACTGACTCCAAAGCCTGTGCTCAAGGAACGTTTGATTGATTATTTAACAGAGAAAAATAAGATTGCTAGTAGAACAATAGGAAGCTTGCTAGTCTTTCTGTGTCCTCCACTGGCTAAAATCCATGTTCAGAGCTGATAAAGACTATATTCAGTTACCTGGCAAAAGGATCACTTTTTCTACATTGTGAAACTCTCTGGAGATGGCTTCCAGACTGTAAGACATGTAAGTACATTGCTTCAGCGTCTTTTTGTCTAAGATGGCCTGTCTACAGAGGGCTAATTGTTTCCTTCATAAATCTTACCTCACCTATGATGACTGGAAGCGCTGGGATAATTATGTACTTCCACATGTCACAGTTGAAAGAGCACAAATGGTCTTAGAAATTGAACAGTTTTGTGTGCTGGCTATATAACTTCTGATGACTGATGAAAACAGTCAGAACCCTAAAAAAAGGCTTCCTATTTATGAAATCGTAACGATAATACGCATATCACAAGGCTGTTGTGATAAGTAGCATTCTTGTGAAACGTATAGTGTATAGTAAACACTTGATAAGTGCCTAACAGCTGTTACATTTCTTATTTCAGTTTTCTCAGTGTGCTATACTTTGTTTTAAGCAAATAACATTTACAAATCAGATTTATAAGGAAAACGGTTTCATCCATGTAATCTTACATGAAATTAATCTTGAAAGAAAGGGATGTTTTCTCTCTACAAAAGCATCCCCTAGAATTATCTGAAAAACTTCCATGATATACTGAAATATATAGGTCCATTTAAAATTTCTGATTTATAAACAAATCCTCATGAATGCAATTTAAAATATAAAGCAAAAAACTCAGCAATTGAGTTTCTTCACCTTTTGTTGTTGGTGTGGCAGTGCTGCCTTCGCTATGCAGATATACTTTTCCTTTGCCTTTTCACGGGCCACCTTATCTGTACCCACACAAAAACGCTTTGTTATTTGATAACCTGCAATTCCCCAGGGCAGGTAAGGCCAAGCTCCCTTAGAACTGCCCATTTGAAAAACCAATGATTTCCCCCACCCCCCCCAAGAGGAGTTTCGCTCTTGTTACCCAGACTGGAGTGCAATGGCGCGATCTCGGCTCACCGCAACCTCCACCCCCTGGGTTCAGGCAATTCTCCTGCCTCAGCCTCCCGAATAGCTGGGATTACAGGCACGCGCCACCGTGCCCAGCTAATTTCTTGTACTTTTTTTAGTAGAGACGGGGTTTCACCATGTTGACCAGGATGGTCTCGATCTCTTGACCTCGTGATCCACCCGCCTCGGTCTCCCAAAGTGCTGGGATTACAGGCGTGAGCCACCGCACCTGGCCAAAACTGATGATATTAAAGAAGGCTGTTGCCATGGGTCCCCACTCCATATTTTGCACATTCTTCTACCATAACACCCATACAAGCTTTAACCCTTGTTGTTTATATAATTATTTCCTGATGAATGTTTGTTGAATTAATTCATGAAGTAACATGAAATCATTTTTGTGGCTATAAATGAGCATAGTACTGAGAAGTGTTTTTTGAACAAAGTTGCTGAGTCATTTAACAGAATTGCAGCACTAAGCTTCTAATTAAAGTAAAACCATTTAAAATATATTTGTAGAGAGGCACGACTTAATGAAGGTTACCAAAGGACAGCCAAGACATCTACCTATTGCCAATAGAGTTCGATTCAATAAAAACATTAATAAAATACAATATTGGCATGTCTTTCTCCAGGAATTTATCCTGAAGACACTTGCTTCTCAGTTCAAAATATGCTACACAAAAACCAAAACAAACAAAACAAAGAAATATAAATTGCTTTAGAATGAATGTTACTCTGTTACCTAACTGTATGCATAGCCTGGGGCAAACTGCTTGCACGTGTTACAGTTTGGATGCACGTGTTAGAGTGGGTATATGAATACCCACACTGTCTTTGGGAAGATAAGATTGCTACTTTTTTCCTTTTGGGGAGTGTAAAGGGAAAATCGTGCAGCATCCTATGAGTGAAAAGTTTTCAGTGATCACAGTGTGCTTTCCTGTATGTAAGAACGTAGCACTTCTGCTGGCCAAAAGAAGAACCGCACTCTCAATACTGCTTTCTAACAACCTCTCCCAGCAATGACTTCATCTTCATCAAAGACAAGGGCACACTCTGAGAAGATGCCTGGTTAGGATAACGAGCCCAGACTGTAGTCATGATCCAGTTCCTTGGTGTGAGGAGACAAGGGCACACTCTGAGAAGATGCCTGGTTAGGATAACGAGCCCAGACTGTAGTCATGATCCAGTTCCTTGGTGTGAGGAGACAAGGGCACACTCTGAGAAGATGCCTGGTTAGGATAACGAGCCCAGACTGTAGTCATGATCCAGTTCCTTGGTGTGAGGAGACAAGGGCACACTCTGAGAAGATGCCTGGTTAGGATAACGAGCCCAGACTGTAGTCATGATCCAGTTCCTTGGTGTGAGGAGACAAGGGCACACTCTGAGAAGATGCCTGGTTAGGATAACGAGCCCAGACTGTAGTCATGATCCAGTTCCTTGGTGTGAGGAGACAAGGGCACACTCTGAGAAGATGCCTGGTTAGGATAACGAGCCCAGACTGTAGTCATGATCCAGTTCCTTGGTGTGAGGAGACAAGGGCACACTCTGAGAAGATGCCTGGTTAGGATAACGAGCCCAGACTGTAGTCATGATCCAGTTCCTTGGTGTGAGGAGACAAGGGCACACTGAGAAGATGCCTGGTTAGGATAACGAGCCCAGACTGTAGTCATGATCCAGTTCCTTGGTGTGGGGCAGCTGCATGATGGAACTCTAACTGGAAGCCTTACCTCCTCTATTAACATCAGTCACAATGTTGCCATCTAAGGTCATGAAACCAAGCCCAAGATTTGCCACGGGCACTGGTGGGCTATGTGCAGGTATCCCTACTCTCCCTACTCTCTGTGGGGACCACCTGCAGCTTCCGTGGGGAAACTGAAGCTACAGTGAAACAAAGTAATTAATTGACTGATTCAAACCTGTTTGGCTGTGTGGCTAATCTCCACAGCCAAATCCCCTCCAGAATTCCCGATGCCAATTATAATGACTCTCTTTCCAGTGAATCCCTCTGGGTTCTTATAGTCTCGACTGTGGAAGTACTGCCCTTTGAACTTCTCAATTCCTACAAGAGAAGGGAAAATAAGTATCAGGTAATGGTTTATATGATGGATATCATTTGTCAGCTCACTTGGTCTTTTTGCAGACTTAAGTTTAAGCACATATTCTCCAAGTGTTCTCTCTTGGAGGCTACTTTCTTGCCTTTCTCAATATTTTTGCCTATTTTCTTTTCCCATAGCCTCAGAGTAGTACCACCATGTGACTTTCTTATCATATGTACTTTGCTTAACTCAGGATGTGTTTGTATTTTGGATTTATAGATATAAATACAAACTGTCTCAGAAAACCTCCATTCTATTTTGTCTTTTCATCCACTTAAATACCTAATCTCCGGCCAGGCACGGTGGCTCACGCCTGTAATCCCAGCACTTTGGGAGGCCGAGGTGGTCAGATCACAAGGTCAGGAGATCAAGACCATCCTGGCCAACGTGGTGAAACCCCATTGCTACTAAAAATACAAAAATATTAGCTGGATGTGGTGACGTGTGCCTGTAATCTCATCTACTCAGGAGGCTGAGGCAGGAGAATTGCTTGAACCAGGGAGTCAGAGGTTGCAGTGAGCCGAGATCGCGCCATTGCACTCCACCCTGGTCACAGAGTGAGACTCCATCTCAACAAAAAGAAAACCTGCTCCTATTTCACTTACAGCACATATATTTTTATATACTCTAGAGTACACAGAGTGCCTCTTTTTTTCTTTAATAAAAATCCAGGCCAAACACTGAAATTCTTCAAGCTTTCATTTCTTCTTTAGAAATTCAATATTTCAGTTTACTTTATTGCTGAAAAATTCCTCATTCAGCCTAATGCTCCTCAAGAACTCCACATTCTTCCTTCTGAAACTTAGAAAACTAAAGTCATTGTAAAACTAAATAGACCTCAAATTTTGCTCTAATCTCCAAAAAATACAAAAATGGGAATAACACAAGTTACCCCAACATGGTTCTGGGGAACATGAAGAATTAGGATAAGTCTTATTTCATTCCAAAGTAGGAATTACTCACAGCACAGTCCTCCCGCTTCTCAGGGGTCAGGTCACAGGCATGGGTCAAGGGTCTTCCAGCATGGCGAGTTACTCACCAGGGAAGCTGTCCAGAGGTAGATGAGCATTGGTGTGATGGCCAGTGCAAACCATGACTGCATCAAAGACGTCTGTCTCCTTTTTCCCTTCAGACTCAGTGACCACTTCCCACTGGCCTGAAGTTGCGAAATCAGGCCGCTTTTTCACAGTGCACACGGTGGTCTGAAAAGGAAAACGACAACCACAGGGGACACCCCTGACATGACTCTCCTTGCAGAATCTTACACAGCGGGCTGATACCACAGGCACGCACTCTCACATAATAGGATCCCTGCAGGGATATTTGATTTTCATACTCCACAAATAAAAACTGTTTTGTTTTGGGCTGTGGTCAGAATGAGAAAACTTGTAGTGTTCGCGCCAAGGGCTGGAGACAGCTAGTTGACTCGCCCCAGTTTGGCTGCTGGACCTGTCTGCATTTCCCCACCTCGAGGGCTGTCGAGTGAGACAAAGGGCCTCGAGCTGAGTCACTGAAGCAATAACAGAATGCAAAGCAAAGGTCTGCAGTTTATGAGGACATTGTGCTGTCTGCTTCCATGTCCCCATCAGTCTCTGTGTAAGCAATAAACTTACTGCAATTGAGATGCCTAAGAGGAGCAGAGACCTCTGCCTATATTTTCCCTGGGGCCAAGCCTTTGTTTTAGCTCCTGGTGAAAAACAGGTTTAACCAGCCACCTTAAGGGTGCCATTGTATCTTTGAAATGTAAAATCTTTGAAATGTAAACTACTACCACTAGCCCCCTTAAACTGCTTTCTGAGCGGATATCACAAGCCCCTGATAACTATTTCTATGGAGTTTCTATTTCCTTTCTGTTTACCCTTTTTTTTCTTTCTACTGTGATTAAGTAAATGTAACAAGAAAAAAGTATAAAAGCTGTAACCCACAAGAATTAATTTGCTGCGTTTTGGCCATAATCTTCACGCAGCCCTCCAGACTCCACTTTTCTGTATTCTTTCTCTTCCGCGCACTCTCTCTCTCAGGTTGAAAGAGACATCTACGTTGTCGGTCTCGGGGACTCCCGCACGTCAGTAGTCCCCCGGCAGATGTGCCAGACCCCGACAAAAACTTCCACAAGGCAGAAAAAAACAATCACATATTGTTGGCAGGCCAGTGTACCTTCCTCTTCTAGAAAAATGCGAGTCCCTAGGCCTTTTAGTTCTCATCCTAAGGTACTGTAACACCTGATTAAGCCTGGGCTTCTCCTGTGCTTTTATGACACTCCATGCACTACCTGCCTATTCTTCTGACCCCCAAATGTCCTGAGACCTTCTGATGTCTTCTAACTCCAGGTTCTCTTCTCCTGGCTAACTTTAAACACGTGACTGAGATCTAGGGCTCCTTTTCCTGGTAGGGTAGAAAAACCCCTGATGGCTCTCATTTTATATGAATGAATCTCCCTTTGACTCCCATAGATACCCACTTTACCAGGAACTATAAAGAAAGAGGCTGTGAAACAGGATAGAGGTATGATTATAGCTTTTAAAAAAATAATAAACACGGGTTACTCTACTTAGGTTAAGGAAACACTATGAGCTTCTCAGGGCCTATGACCATAATGTCTTGGACTAATAGCGACACCACCCCTGCCTGGGCGTGGTGGCTCATGCCTGTAATCCCAGCACTTTGGGAGGCTGAGGCAGGTAGATCACCTGAGGTTGGGAGTTCGAGACCAGCTTGACCAATATGGAGAAACCCCATCTCTCCAAAATTAGCCAGGCATGGTATGTGCACCTGTAGTCCCAGCTACTCAGGAGGCTGAGGCAGGAGAATTGCTTGAACCTGGGAGGTGGAGGTTGAAGTGAGCCAATATAGTGTCACCGCACTCCAGTCTTGGCAACAGAGCAAGACTCTGTCTCAAAAAGGAAAAAAAAAAAAAGGAGGGGATACCACCCCTGCATGTCTTGGCCATCCAGCACTATTTATAGTTCCTCTATCATGTTCTTTTACACAGGCTGGTGCCTCTGCCTGGATCGCCCTTTTATTCCTTATTTAGTAGATTCCTATTAACCCTTCAAGACTCAGCTTTAAGAAAACTTTATCTCCTTTAAGAAAACTTCCCTGGAACCTGATACTTTGTGCTCTGATGGGTTCAACATCTCTCCTCTGAGCTGCAATGTATAGATTTCTAGCATTTGTCCCCATGTGACTCTTTATTTTTATTAATTATATTTATAATACAATTTTTCTTCATTTTTTATCCCCTTAACTAGACTATAAAGTTACTGATTTTTCCCTTTTGTCTTTGCATCCTCAATACTTAATATGATAACAAACTTGTTCAATAAGTATTATTTAAACAAGTGAAGAGAAGCACCATTGGAATGTAAATGACTCACTTTAGAAGTTATCACTAGATGTTTTCATTTTGTTTTGTTTTGTTTTTTGAGAAGGAGTTTCACTCTTGTTACCCAGGCTGGAGTGCAATGGCACGATCTCAGCTCACCGCAACCTCCGCCTTCTGGGTTCAGGCAATTCTCCTACCTCAGCCTCCTGAGTAGCTGGGATTACAGGCATGCACCACCATGCCCAGCTAATTTTTTGTATTTTTAGTAGAGACGGGGTTTCACCTCGTTGACCAGGATGGTCTTGATCTCTTGACCTCGTGATCCCCCCGCCTCGGCCTCCCAAAGTGCTGGGATTACAGGTGTGAGCCACCGCACCCGGCTGTTTTCATTTTGTTATTGTTGTTAAGCAGAAAAAGGCATGACTTAGCAGGATGATCACAAGGCAGAAGGTGTGGGCTTTTTGCCAACTGTCAGAAACATCTGTTCTTTTATGGTCATGATCAGAAATTATAGAGAAGTCATAGAATATTTTAGAGCAGAAAGGAACCACTGAAGTGATCTAGTACGATCATCTTGTTTTACAAACAAGGACATTTTAAAATTGGAAATTGAGGAACTTGCTTGTCTAACATCTAAGTTAGTCAGTGGTAGGGCAAGGACCAGAATTCAGGTCTTTGTTCTGCAATTCCATGTTCTTCCCTCTACACCAGAGTTAACTACCCAACCACTACACTTTGCTGGGTTTTTATGATGTTCATGTAAACAAATACATTGGGAAGTACTTCTGAAAGTCTAAAAGGGCTAAGCAGTCATGAACAAGTTGTAGAACCAGAAGGTTTTAAAGTCCCCGTGCCTATCGGTTCCTTCCGTAATGGGGAAAACATTTCCCCTCATCTGTTTTATTGCAATCAAATTGTGTGAAATGAAGGTAATGAAAACACTCTGCCAGGTAGCTTCCTGTATATGCAGCCAAAATACGTAAAAGAGAGACCTTCACTTGAATATTCTTGAGGGGCAAGGAGGACAAAGAATGGAGTTTTTGCCTGAGTAGACAGATGCATGTGCAAGTCAAGCCAATCTTTAGAAGTGAATATTGATCATTAAAACCACATTATTCATTTACTTGGCAAACAACTTCAAACACAAAGATACCCACAAAATTTTCTACCTTAAATCGAATATACTTTAGAAGGCCAAATTCTTTGGCATACATCCTGAAATACTCCAGGACCTGGGTATTATGCATGAAGTTAGGATAATGATCTGGGATCGGATAGTCGCTGAAGCACATCATCTCTTTAGAAGTATTGATGATCACTGATTTGTAAATACTGGCCCTTCCTTCTTCGGGATTTTCCTGCAATAAATAGAAAGTATGCTTAGCAACTTGAGAATCATCTTTATGATTTGTAAATATGAAAAAGTTTTCTGAAAGAAGAGTCAAATCACACACACACACACACACACACACACATCTTCCAGTATTTGTGCCGTTATATAGTCCTTCCCCTTGAATCTCATTTGTCTTTATGACTTGCTTTTGACCATCAGCATGCAGTTGAAATGACACTGCATGACTTCCAAGGCCAAGTCATAAGCAGCCTTGCAGATTCTGCGTGGGTCTCAGAAAGCTCGCTCTGGTAGAAGCTAGCAGCCATATGAGAGATCCAACTACCGCAAGACCACCTTCGTATGAGGAAGTCGAACCTCACCACATGAAGAGAATGTCTGGGAGAGAAAATATGTCGCTAGTCCCCAGAAATTCTACCTACTCCAGCTGAAGTTCTAAACATGTAAACAGAGAGTTACTGACACTGAGGAACCCTCTTTTAAATGAGTAACAGGCAAAATGGGAACATATACTGGAAAGAGTTTAACAGTTTCCACATACTGGAAAGAGCATAACATCTTCATTGTTTTCTGGAGAGCAAATGTGTATCAAACTCCTTGCAATTTACCTAGCCTTTAAAAAAAATATTCAGCATCACTGAGGAAGATTTATGCTAAAGGTGTTAATAGTAGCATTATTCATAATGTAAAAGGAAACAAGCTGCGTGCCCAACAAAATAACTGAAATTTGAGAACCACTGCTCTAGATTCTTACTCCCAAAGTGTGGTCTCTAGACCAGCAGCAGGGGCTTCATTTGCGAGATTGTTAGTTAGAAATGCAGACTCTCAGGCCGCAACTCAGACCTACTAAATCAGAACCTGCATCTTAGCAAAATCTTCAAGTGATTCAGACGCCATTGCAAACTGAGATGCACTTCATTAGATGACATGAATCCCTAATTCACTGTTCTTTCCCCTACAAGAAACTTCTTTGCTTCCTATTGAGGCCAGGCACATGGCTTATGCCTGTAATCCCAGCACTTTGGGAGGCTGAGGCAGGCGGACCACCTGAGGTCCAGAGTTGGAGACCAGCCTGACCAACATGGAGAAACCCCATCTCTACTAAAAATTCAAAATTAGCCGGACATAGTGGCACATGCCTATAATCCCAACTACTTGGGAGGCTGAGGCAGGAGAATCACTTGAACCTGGGAGGTGGAGATTGTGGTGAGCTCGGATTGTGCCACTGCACTCCAGCCTGGGGAACAAGAGCAAAACTCCATCTCAAAAACAAACAAACAAAACTTACTATTAACTACCTTATGGCGCTGTTGTGTTGATCACATAAAGTAACGCAATGATGCAATCTACCCAGCCTGTTGTTATGTCACGGAGATGTCACAAATGAGTTTTCAGATTTTTAGATTTTCAAAAATTGTTTTGATTATGGAAAATCACCTGAATCAATTTGGATTCCCTCCCTTTTTATTCTAGAAATGAACAGATATTGAGTATTATGAAACATACATAGCCACAAAGGAGAACATTTGTTGCCTTTGTCCATTTTTAGGGTGGTTTTTCTCCCATTTTTATTGCATAATTATTCAATCCAGGAATCCTACATTGATTATTCCCATTTCTCTGCCCCATGATCCATAGTCTCATTTCTTTAACTGCTGATCACATTTTCACAAGTCTCCTTCGAAGCCTTTTCTTCTAATCTATCCTACCTATTTCAACCAAAGTGTTCTCTCTAAGGTGTGGCTGGACTGCATCTCTGCCCTAATTAAGATTTTAGATGTTGCCCCATTTCCTGTAGAATAAAGTTTCTATTTCTCAGATTAGGATTCAAAGACCTCCATGACATTCTGTAATATATTCCTTATCATCCCAACTTGATTGTAAGCCCCTTGAATTGTACTCCTGGTTTTCCCCACAGCATACAAAATGATAAATAGCACTCAACAAATGTTTATTGGATGCATATCAAATTGTATTGAGAAAGGGATATATAAGATAAGATGTAAGTTCACAAAATGCAAAACAAAACTAATAAAACACATCAACATTCATCTCAAAGAGTTCAATAAGATATATGCATCTCACTCCCAAAATGTTGTCCTAAGAAAAATTGCAAAATAATATAAAGTCAAATTCATAGATATGTTTTTATATTACTTAACTAGCAATTAATCAGAAACAATGTTAAATGTTCCCAAAACAGATGAATGGTTTAGTAAGTTATCGTATCTCAACATGCCAAATTTATCTTCCACACCACTCCATGGGTATTCTGATAAATGCAAACGAGATCCTGCCACCCTACTGCTTAATGCTTCTCTTGATTCCAGAAAATAAAATTTCTTATTTTGAAATTTAGCACATTTCACAATCTAGCCTGGTTTACCTTTTAATCTTCATCCAATGTTCTCCTCATTTAATCTCAAATTTTTAAGTTACCAAATTTTTCCCAGAACATTTTAGGCTCTTGCACAACTTAAAACCTTTGTACATATTACTGTTTATTCACATGGAAAATTTCCTCTCCTTCAAGAGGAATTAGATACAATGTTAAATGTTTCTAACATCAAATGTCACTTCCTTCAGGAAGACTTTTCTAATTTCTCCAGAAAGTTAGATTCCCCCATTCATCCTCCAAGCTCCCAAAACTCTGTTCATATTCCTACAAACATAACGTAAGCACACTTTATTTTCACACATTTGTTTCCACAGTTGTGAGAAACCAGCTTTGGCCTTTGTCTTTTTTAAAATCTCTATTGTTAGGACATGTATGTATTAGATGTGCAATGAATGCTTTCAAAATAACTAGTTAATGAATTATGGAAAGTGAATTTGGAGACACCAAAAACCATGATTCTGAAGTCTGTGCAGGAACATTGAAACATGGCCTGTGATAGAACTTTAAGTGAAAAAGCAATTGTCAAATTAAATCTAGATTCTAATCACCAAATACGTAATATTATGTCTACCTATGGGTACCTAATTATAATTGTATAATTGCTCCCTGTTAGATATGTCACTTTTGAGTATACTTTATTTATTTTAAATAGAAAAAATTGAAAATACAGAAAACCACTTGATTTATTAAGGCAGTAGGATTTCTATATTTTTCTTTTATTTTTGTTAAAATGTTTGTTCATCACCCCTTTATGATAAAAACTCTTAGCAAACTAGGAATAGAGATAAATGTCCTCAATTTGATAAAGAAGATCTACCAAATACCTATAACTAACATCGTACTTAATAGTTGGAAACTAGACCCTTTTCCCCTAAGACTGGGAACAAGGTAAGGAAGTCCTCTCCCACCACTCCTATTGAACGTTGTACTGGAAGTCTTAGCTAGTACAATATAGAACAAAGAAAAGTAAAGGATATACTGATTGGAAAGGAATAAAGACAACTTTTTAATCTGCAGATGACCTGACTCTATGTAGAGAATTCCAAAGAATTATCAAAAAAAAAAAAGGGCGGGGGGCGCAGTGGTTCATGCCTGTAATCCCAGCACTGTGGGAGTTCAAGGTGGGCGGATCACAAAGTCAGGAGACCAGTCAGGCCAATATGATAAAACCCAGTCTCTACTAAAAATGCAAAAAAGGTAGCTGGGTGTGGTGGCATGCACCTGTAATCCCAGCTATGCGGGAGACTGAGACAGAGAATTACTTGAACCCGGGACGGAGGTTGCAGTGAGCCGAGATTGCGCCACTGTCTTCCAGCTGGGGCGACAGAGCGAGACTCTGTCTCAGGAAAAAAAAAAAAAAAAATTCCTAGAGACAATAAGTGAGTAGTCAGGGTTGCAGGATACATGGTTAACATACAAAAATTGTTTTTTTATATATCAGAATGAACAACTGGAATTCAAAATTTAAAAAAAAATCCATCTATAGTAATACCCCCAAAATTACATGCATAGGTTTAAATATAACAAAATACATCTAGGACTTATAAACATGATTTACAAAACACAGATGAGGAAGATCTAAGATTTAAATAAATGGAGAGAGAGGCTGATTCATAGACTGGAAGACTAAATATTGTTAGGATGTCAGTTCTTTCCAACTTGACCTGTAGATACAATGCAATCCCAATCAACAGCCCAGCAAGCTATTTTAGAATCCAAGCTAACACATGGATTCTAAAGTCCATATGGAAAGACAGAAGGTCTGAAATAGAAGACTTTGTCCTTAAATTGTGGGCTATGCATAGTGACTTTGTTCCAAAGAGTACAGTATGGCAAGGGAGAAAAAAGAGCAAACTTACTGTGGCAAAAACTGACAAACACTACTTCAAGCCGGACGTCAAGGTTAACATCACAGTGATATTTCTAGGGTTTTTATAGTTTTAGGTTTTACATTTAACTTTTTTTTTCCTTTTTCTTTCCTTTTTTTTTTTGAGACAGAGTCTTGCTCTGTGGCCAGGCGCCAGGCTGGAGTGCAGTGGCATGATCTCGGCTCACTGCAACCTCCGCCTCCCAGGTTCAAACAATTCTCCTGCCTCAGCCTCCCAAGTAGCTGGGACTAGAGGCGCCGCCACCACGCCCAGCTAATTTTTGTATTTTTTAGTAGAGACGGGGTTTCACCATGTTGACCAGGATGGTCTCGATCTCTTGACCTCGTGATCCGCCCACCTCGGCCTCCCAAAGTGCTGGGATTACAGGCGTGAGCCACCGCACCTGGCCTACATTTAACTTTTTAATCCATGTTCAGTTGATTTTCATATATGGCAAAAGGAAGGGATCCAGTATCAGTCTTCTGCATATGGCCAGCAGTTATCCCAACCCCGTACAATTTATCCTTGTAAAAAACCTTCATTTGTACCCCCTGAACCTAAAATAAAAGTTGGAACAAGAAAAATAAAAAAGGTGGAACAAACTTACATTTCAACAAAGATATATTTTGGCATACATTGAATGGTAATTTCTTACTTATAATAATATAATGAGGTTTAAGTTTCAAAATAAAAAAACAGTGGATATAATGTTGATAGCATGTACCCTTGACGGGATGTGAG